GAAAATTGATTTAGGTAATTGTGAAGTAAAACAGAAATCTCACTGTGTTGCGACTGATATATCAAGAGGTTGCCGTCAAACTATGGAAAAAAAGAACCACAAGTTCCACTTGTATAAGTAGTTTCTCATACCAGTGCCAGTATCAGTATTACTATCAGTACCACTGTGGTAGTCAATAAATTCAATTTTTTAGGTTTAGGGAATAATTGAGTTTGTGACTTAATTCACTTGTCCCTTCTTGATTATAATTCTGGTGCAAAATTTAAATTATTAAAAGTTGGACAAATATCACAAGATAGCTGTTTATAAATTTCCATTTCCATGACTACCAACTTAACATTATCAAATTGTCAAACTTTCATTGCTTATTTATTTGTTTCACACATTATTCAAGACTGTCCTTCACAGAAAAATATCAGAGAAAATTTGGATATAGCACCAAACTTATCAGAAAACCTAAAAGATAATGAAAAGGCTGTAAAAAAAACATTAGAATTCTTACAAGAGATGAAATTCTATAATAGAATTTAATTGTAAGATGAAGCCAATGACCATCCAGGATAGAGGCAACAAAAAAAAACTAAATAAATAAAATTATTTGTTTCATAGAAACTTAACTTTTGAATTTAATTTCAATTCCTTTTAAGGGGTTAAATATATTAATTCTGTTCATTTATCCTAATTTTGGTGTCTTGAGGTTTTATTTTTATATAAATTAGGCCAATTATTACCAAACATTTTATTGATACGCTATTTAATTTGACGTTTCGACCATACTGATCAGTCCCTCCAGAAATGACGTAGGTGAAACCCCTATAGACCATGACAATTTAATGTTCACTGAACATAATTATTTGCGACATTAATGATGAATATATAACGGAGGAGTCATCAAGACTTGAAAATGACCCTTAGTATGGTCGAAACGTCGAATTAAATAGCGTATCAATAAAATGTTGGTGATAATTGGCCTAATTTATATAAACATAAGTATATTAAAGAATTGTTCCTAAGATAATGAAATCACCGTTTTTCATAGTAAATGATGCCATTTAGTGGTTGAGTTCATTTATTTCACATTTTTGATCTTTAATTTAATGGTTTTAAAAAATCAATAATGAATTGATGCAAGTTACAACGAAACAAACTTTATAATATTGATGTAAAGTTTTAATTTCATTTGATTTTCGCATTAACTAAGTAGTATAAACATTGCATAAATTGGCACCAGGAATTGATGGCGGAGGTAGAAGTAAGCAGGGATAGAAAGCTCATTTATTGGCAGCTTTTTAATATCACAAATCGTCAATAACCACAAAAAAGAAATAATTATCAAATATGGTCTAACAAACCAATAAATGTAAAAACTGCACGAAACTGCTTATATTTTGTGTTTAAATAATTGACATTTTATTTGCTTAATATTATTTTGAATAAATGATAATATTTGAGTGGATACATTATGCACACATCAGTTTACTGGAGTCAGTAAGTACATTTTTTATACAGCTAACCTTTTAAGGATGTTTTTGTGACTTTCATCTTCATTTATTGATGATAAATAAAGTAAGTGCACTAAAATGACAAACCGTTTAATATATCAAATATAGTTATAACAAGCACAGTTATCTAATTTCTCAAAAGGAACATTAATGAAAGCTCTTAGTGATTTAAGGTATAGAAATCCCACTAGTGATTTCTTGTAATAAACCAGCAATATATTAATCAGTGATGTGTTAAACATCAGTTCTTAAATCTGCATCTTTATGGTTCTCTTTCTCATAAGATTCAATATCTTCAGATTCAAGATGAACTCCAGCAATATTGCTATTACTACCAGTACTATTTATTTGTGCACATGATTGAGCACTCCAAGCCACTTCTTTGGCACTCACAATTTATCATTTTAAAATTTACATGAATTTCTCACTATGTGTACAAATAATGAGACAGAACAGTGGTGTTGTGATACGTGATGAGGTGTAGATATTTTTTAAACCCATTTAATAAACTATAAATGAGATTTGTGCTATTCCTATAATTAAGAGAGTACAGTCAAATTAAATTGGGAATATAATGGCTATTATGCAATTGCTTGTAGGTATATTCATGGGGAGTGGCATAACTCAGTGGTAGGGTACTTATCTTCCAATGCTCAAGGTCTGAGGTACAAATCCTTGCTCATGGCAGAAAAATTTATTCAGTTTCATCAGCCATGGGACGACCCTGGAATTGGGAGATCCTCGTGGGGTACACCTAGCCTCTATAAATTGGGTACCCTCAATTAAGTAATTTATCTCCTTGCAGAGCCGATGACTAAGAAACAGTGCTTTCCCTAAATAGTACTGAACCCAAGACCCTTCATGGGTTGTAATGGTACAGGTTTTTTTTCTTGCAAGTATATTCAGTGAAGTAAACTGTCCAAATTAGTAACCCTTTCACAGCTTGAATTACTGGTTATTTAATAAGATAAGGATCAATAACTATAATAATCTGTTTTAAAAACACTGATTCATTGCCACTTTAGATAATACATTTTTGAGATTGAGTATATTTTTTTCACATAATTATTTATTAATAAAAAGTGTATTTTAGTAATTAATTTATCACAATAAATCCAAGATCACAGAAGAAAAAAATAAATTAAAGCTTTGTAATAACTTACCATAGTTATTTTTATTAAAAACACAGGTACTTGAGGTTGCAAAATATCAAATCACCTACATATTCTTTTCATTCCACTAGAAGTGAATCTGAACTTAGCCTGCTAGAAACCTCAATAAATAAGGGAGTTTTTGTAAAAGTGGAATATTGGTAGTACAGTTGAAGAGTTATAAAAAAAGTTACAAATAATCTATGGTTTTATGAAAAACAGAGTTTAACAGTTAAAACCATAAAAAACTCCTTCTTCAGCTTCTTATATAAGAGTTCCAGCAACCTAATACCATTATGATTTGAACTGTGTTCTATTTCTCATGTTCAGTAAGAAAGAGCTTACATAATGGGAAGGTAATAAATGATATCGGACAAATTTCAGTTTGTTTTTTTACTATAATTGTTTTTACTAGTTTTACTTTACAATAATTGATTTATGTAAGAATCGCCTACATAACTAAAAAAAAAAAAATAATTACAAAATACAAACTCACCTTTTCTTTGTGGGCGACCAAACATACATCAGTAAAAGAGTGAAATTCCTCCGAAATATTTACTGTCAAGACCTTTTATACTGACAAGGAATCATTAATTGAAATATAAAAGTAAAAATTGAAGTTAAAATAATAAAACATTTTATTTAATATGTTATATAAAACCAATTTTTATAATATTCAGGTAAGTTATAAAATATTATTTACATTTATTGGATGATACGTACTTTGATTTTAAAATAGACTACTTAAAAATCACACAATAATATTTTTAGTTATTTATTTGTTTCATAATTTATAAGATGATTAAGGCAAGAAAACAACTTATTAAATAATAAGTAAATATTTATACAAATATACATTATTTTTAGTGTACAAAATTTCATGAGTTATTTTGTTAACAGCATAAATAAATCATTAAGAAAATTTTAAAAACAAGGAGTGTTATAATAAAATATTTGGTTAAATAATCAATTGCTGTTTTTTCAAACGTAGCCAAGAAACAGCGTTTTTTGATCAAATAGCAGATCTTTTTTTGGCTATGACAATTCTCAATATAAAATATGAATAGTTACAAATTGTGGTATGATCAATTATACATACAATAAAACTCCAAAAAAAAAGAAATGGTACAAAAATAAAAATAGTGAATACAGTAATCCCTCAACATTCACAGATTTGACATCTGTGTGGTTTAATTATACACCAACACAAAAATACAGAATTCCACATTCACGAATTGCATCTTTTGACTGTTGATAAAGAAATCCACATATATATGGTTTAAGCAACCACTATGTTATACATTTCTGAATCTCAAACAATTAAACATACTCACATATACATATTTACTTATTAGGTATATATTCACTCATAATAACCACTGAAAAAATGTAGTATTTTGGATGTCTGTCGCTAAATGAAACTGACATTATCTGTCAGTTAGAATAATAGATTTAATGAGAAATATGTATGAATAAGAATATGAGTGAGTTACAAAAGTAGAAACATTAACCTGTCTCAAGAAAAGTCGTTCCTTTGTTGATAATAGTTTTTATAAACCTTCCAATACATGAAATAACAACCTATACAAACTTATAATTTGGTTATGGAACTCAAATCTCTTCATTCACTCTCCATTAATGTTTTTATCCAGCTCTCATTATAATATTGATTAAAACTAAAATGGCACTGTCTCCAAAAATATGTATAAAATGTATTTGTTTTTATATCTTTCTTGAGCATCATAAAACATAACCCCTTATTAACACAAAACTGAGAATTCAAAAATTTTGAGATTCGTATGATTTTCCTGAAACATAATCCTCACAAATGTTAAGGGATTACTGAGCACCTAATCATTGACCAAGAAATACACCCTTAAACAATTTTGTTAATTAATAGCAGTATTAAATAATTTAATTAAAATACATACTTAAATGGTTATAAAATAAAATGGTAAAAAAATTGTAAGTATGTATTCCAATATAAAATAAAGTACATTAAAAACAAGAGAAATAATACTCATGTGATTTATTTTTTCTAAGGTTAATTAAAACAATATAAGATGTGTAAAGCCATTTATCACTAAGCTAAAAAATATAAAAAGGTTTAATGAAGAATTTAATTTTTAATAAATTTATACAACATATAATCAATAAATGTTCACAATTCAAAAATATAATAAATAAATAAATAATAAGACATTTTGTACTAATGTAACATTATGAGGTATAAATAAACATTAATTGATAAGTAATGTGAAATTATATGGACTTTCAAATAACAACTTAGGTTTACAATATAATAAAATTGATTCCATAAATTATTATATTTAAGCATACATTATATCAATTTTTAAAATATTATAAACTATAAACACAAAATTAAGTTAACATAAAAAAGTGGTGAAATTATAGTCCAAATTAATAATTTCTAAAAATTAATAAAGATATTACTACTATAAACTTGTATATGAAGACTACAGACACAAAAACAAAATGTTTTTTAATTTTTATCAACTTTTCTAGACACAGTGCTCAGTGTCTAATCAGATATAAATTCTTTAATAATCTAATTTTAACTTAGATTAAAACTTTACTATTAAATTTTATCATGTGCATAACTATTTTTCTTTCTGTATCTTTCATATAAAAAAGTGAAGATTTATTGAAAGGAATAAATTTGAACTATAACTTATATTGAAATTGAAGAATCCATAAATATTAAAAAATAAATAAAAATAATAGATAGATAGATATGGGAAAATAAAAGTGTTAACTTCTTTCTACAAGGAACATACTAGCTTGCACTCTAATTTCAAGGTTATAAAACCTCACATTTGAAGCAGGTTCAAAACAGACCATGGATTCATTTCAAAATCTCAAGCTGAAAAACTGTATCCTTCTTTGTTTGTTCAGCAACAATAAACATTAAATAAATTTTCTTATAGCAATTAGTAGGCAGATAACTGACTAACACAATAATGAAATTAAACAAAATTACAGAGATGGGTCATTAGTCGACTGATCAATCCTTAGGATGTAACAAAATGGTTAAGATTTAGAGTCAAGAATCTTTATTAGGTTAGCCGACGTTTATGTTTCGAGAGTTCTTGCCTCGACTCCCAAAAGATAGCCATGAGGCTGAACCATATGTTTGGTTCGAAACGCCGGCTAACCTAATAAAAATTCTTGACTGTAAATCCTGATTATTTTGTTTCGTCATGAATAAAATTACATTTGTTTTAAAAATCTTATTTACCACATTTAGTGATTAATATGTACTATAAAAGCAATACAGATAAAGTAATGTCCAATCGGCAATAAACTCTATGGTTTGAAACTCATATTTTTGCTGACACTTGGGAAGATATTTATCCTAAATTACTTAACATAATTTACCTCAATTCATTATAATTTTAAAATGGTTTACTGTAAATAACTACAAACTTGATAATTATTACTATTCAACTTTTTTTTTCTATTATTATTATTTATTTTGATTTTTAGCAAATCTAATCCACTGATTTTGTATCTTTAAAATTATCAGAGCTACAATATGCAATTTATAAACTAAGGGAAAAAATGTTAATATGTTTGTTAGGTTAAAAGAAATTTAAATTTTACTTCCAAGACAAATTCCACTACTACAAACGTTTTAGTTCTAAACTAAACCAAAGAATACAAACATCCCATAAACACTTAAAAAGATGATTTACATAAAAACTGGTGAACTAAAATAAACAAAAATAGACCAATTTAAAATTTATTGCTCAGTTAATAAAAATGAAAAATAAAAAATTGTATAGCAAGATATGTTTTTAAGAATATTTTAAAGGTATAAATTAAAAACCTTAATACCTAACAACATTTTAAAGATATTAACCTTCAAACTTATCCATAATTGATTAAGGCATTCGATCATGAAACATGCTATCTGACATTTTTGTTAATTGAAGTATTTTATAACACTGAATTAGTTATGGCTGATTTCATATGTTATTGGTGGAATTTATAGGAAATGTGTTACTTTAAAGAGTAAGATTTGTAATGATGTTGTTCAAATAAAATAATGAAATAAATGACTGTTGTTCAAAGGTATAAAGTATCATAAACTAAACACTTAACATTGTAATATTTTTTTTTTTTTTTTTTTTTTTTGGAGACCATGTTTCACAACCAAATGCCTCAATTTAAGGTGAACTTTATTCTATTTAGTGATTTAAAATAACGATGGACCATGTGCTAAGCAGTGATGCATTAATTTAGGTATATTTACAAATTGACTGTGAAAAATGAATTAAGAATGGTAACGTTGATTTTCACACTTGAATGAAGCGTTTAAAAATATTAAAATTTGAAACTCAAGTGCAAGAGGCAATTTATTACAAATTCTTTTAGAGTTCTGAAATAAGCAGAAGCAGTACAATCATAAAGTAAAAAACTAAACTGCGTACATCAACATCAACAGCTAGCTTATGTAAAACATGTATTATCATCTGAGTTAAGTAGCAATTGATGTATCAATTAGGTTAATTCCAAAAAAGAAATTATTTTTAAACAGTATAACCGTAATTAACTTTGTTTCCAATTTACTGTACTGGCTAGGAAGATGGAAACTAAATAAAACATATTATTTACATAACAACTTCAAATCTCCCTTAGAATTATTCCACGAACACAGATGAAATCGTTAAATTAAAATAAGTAAAAAAAAATTACTTTACCAGTATAAATAATAAAATTTGGCAAGTTTTTTCATCCAACCAGTGCAATTTTTTAAGTGAAGGAACATGTTAAAACGTGATTTATAATAAACAATAATTAATTATTTGCACTGTTTTCAGTGATTTCAATTTCAATTATTGTTAACATCAAGCCAGCATGTGAAATATCAACTCCCAAGGCTTACTCATAAGTGTTATTTACTTTAAGCTGAATTTCATGATTCATAAATAATTTTTAATTATATTAATTTAAATAATTATCTTTTATTAAAGAATTGTAGATTCCATTAATTTTTTTTTTCGGAGTTAATCAAGAATTAAGCATATTAAATTCATGACAACTTTGTCATCATTATAAACAGAAAGACTTTAATAGGGCATAGAAATCAATAAGATACTGGGATTATAAATGAGAATCTTAGTAATGATTAATTTTACAGTAATAAAGAAAATAAGCTAGGGTGGACCAAGCTGTCAGTTAATATTATAGTTATTAAATAATTAATGTGGTCATAATTTTCCCTCGTCAAATTACTAATGGATTAGCTAGTTCTTTTGTGCACACGTCAATTCTACACACATAAATTCAATCATACAAATATACAGAGTTTATATACATAATTTATATGTACAAATATACAAAATAATATTAACATATGTACAATATTAATCCCCAATATACAACAATACTGATTATAAAGAAATGAATGATATGATGAGGTTGAAATGATGATGTGTCAGTAAATGATATTCTCCATGTTTGAGCTTGTAGCAAGCTTGATGAGAGTTTTCTTAACTCTTAATGCAGGCAATCTTGCGTTGGCATTTTGGTGCCAACATTCGCGCATGACTTTTCCCATACCATTTAATATCTGAGAAGACAAAATAGAAGTTAATATAATACAATATATATACAGTAAGACAATTATGATGTTACAATATAAATGAAACTAGTGGAATAATAGTAAACAAGTATAAAAAATCATGTAAAATGTGATTGCAAATAATGTTTGGTTGAAAGTTCTGATTAATAAAGATTAAATGAGAAGCTTACTTTCAAAAGGATCCATAAAGTAAAACTAAATATAAATTTTGTTTTTACATTTTTAATTTTATTTGGATTAATATATTAATGGATTAATTCAGAAAAAATGAACGAACCTTTTATTTTGTGAGGATGAAGTGAGGAGTTTGTATAAAAAGAGAACAAATTCTAGTAAATTGTATGGTATCAAACATGACAGTTTTTTTTTTTCAAAACGGCACAAAACCAAAATAAATGCAAAAGAGCCATTTCATTTAGCGCTACAGTCTATAGATAAACGTTTCTGGCGAACTCAACAAAACCAAAAATAAACAAGAAAATCTGGTGCAGTACAGCACATCATAAAACTTTCACTTAACAAATTTCTTCTTAGCAGAAATAATTATTTTCAGACAAAGGAAAGTAAAAATTATAGATGTATGACACGTTATTTAAAACAATTAATTACCATATGTTTTTCATAGCCGCCTCATATATTATATTTATTTTGTTTGATACTAGCTATTTTGTTTTAAAACTGTATATTTCAATTATTTATTTGGTTATAATAAATAATTAAGTGCCACAAAATATTTTTAGACTGACAAGAGTACCACTGATAAAGAAGGCCGCTATATTTATTAATATTTCATTGTGGGTATTTTTATTTGTTTAAACAATGGTATACAAATTTTAATGTTTATATCACTGTAATCTACACAATTAAATATTAAATAATATACATAGATAGCATTTATGAAAACTGCATATGTTATATTCTGAAAACTGAGTCCGTATTATATTTAGCTCATGTTTTGTGTGGAAGCCTGTTCTAATCTTTCGGGCGAGCTTGTATTCCTTTTGTCCCTCTATTACAACTATTCTCTTTTAGTTAATTATCAAATTATTTCATATTTTATGTTAAACTATTTTTTATATCAGAATTAATAGTAAAATGATTATATTTTCAAATTAAAAAATTAAAAGTACTTTAGAGGAAGAAATATTTAAAATTAGCCATCAAGACTGTTCACACACACACACAAGCACGCATTCCATCTGGAAGCCTCTACACAACAATGAACGCCTCAATAGGAGACAAAAGACAGATATACCAGAAAGATGCATAGAATCAACAAAGATACAATAGAACTGAGTGCAGATAACTGAGAAGAAATGTCTCAAAATAGGCAGAGATGGAGCAAAGTTTTTAAGGTAGCAAATGATCTGTAATGCCAAAAAAAAAAAAAAAAAAAAAAAAAAGAAAAGAAAAGGAGTTTTTTAATATTGAGATAAGAAAATAAGTTTAACATTCTTTAAACATTTATAGAACAAGCTTTTTTTTTTTATCACGAGCAATGGTCTGCTTAAATTTTTTTTATTCGAATCACTCATAAAATCAATAAACACGGTATAAAAAACAACAATATGAAATTTTTTTAATCCGTAACAATCTTAACAAAATAATATATGGCTATGAAACCTGGACACTAACTAACCAGCGTGATAGAAACAAATAATTGGAAGATTTCAAAGAAAAATCCTTCACACGATAACCGGAGCGATCTGGGATCAAAACACCGAAAGACCCATAATAATCAATATCTAATGATATGAAAGCATGGAGGTTAAGATGGGCGGGGCATGTAGCTAGGAGCAATCCATCTGGGGCCCAATATATGACAATGAATGTCTCAATAGAAGGCAAAAGACAGATATACTAGATAGAGAGATAGAATCAACAAAGATACAATAGAGCTGCATGCAGATAACTGGAAAGAAATATCCCATGATAGGCAGAGATGGATCTGAGCTTTTAAGGTAGCAAATGATCAAGTAGATCTGTAATGCCAACAGAAAAAAAAACAAAAAAACTTTTGTAAAACGAGTTTTTTAATATTGAGATAAGAAAATAAGTTTATCATTATTTAATCCAAATCAGCTATCTTAAGCAATTTGAAGTTTCTGAGACAAGATTATAAATATTTGTTGAAGTTTTAACAAGTCAAAGTTGGGTACTTTCCGATCAAATATCATTTCTTAAAGTAAAACAGAAGGCCCAGCCTAAGTTCAGAAATTAAATTATATCAGACGAGATATAAAATAAATGAGATATAAAATAATATTATAATCAATTTATAACTGAATGAAAATAAAATAAATTACTCACGGGGTCAGAGGCCCATCTATTGGGTAGCACTGGTCTCTGCTGATCAATGCACACAATTTTACGCATCTCTTCAAAGCTTGGATCGGAACCAACACGATCGTAAAAGGGAGGTTGGTATTCTTCAACTATTCCTGCAAATTTCAACTTCTAATAATGACACAGTAACAAAGCAGCAATCAAAATAATAATTTCATTTAAAGATATAAAACTAAATAACTGATTGCAGAGTACATTGACTTTTTATCAAACTTCAAAGTCAATTATGCAAAGATAGGAATTTTGATTCCTCATACGAATGTTCATTAATCAATTAATCAGGGTAGATTGTAAATAAAGTTCCCTTATCCATAACTATAGACAAGCAACATCTTTTCCTTCCTCCTTTCAGTTTAATTTTAAATTGAAAATATTTAAAATTCAACAATAAAAATTAACACAATATTATCTTGAATTAAAAACCAAGGATTTTTTTTTTTTTAATATTTGCAATAAAAATAAATAAAGTCAAACTTATACAAAATCAAAAATGAACAGAAAAAAAAAAAAAAACACTGCACACCGTACACTTCTACTTATAAATATTAAAAATTAAACCTGAACCTGCACTTAGTATTGAAGTAAGGATTAAACAGATTTTATTCTAGTTTAACTTTAAACATATTTTAAGAGTTTAAACACTTTTGTCATACAGTAAGTTTAATGGGTTGCAATTAATGATGAACCAGCTAACACATATTATCAGATATCTGGTAACAGTGAGTTTTTGGTAATAACCAGGAGCCCAGCACAGCCCTAATTAGAATGTATAAATACGTCAAAACAAGTTAATAAAAATATATATTTCTATTATAATACAGAGTATACAAATATTTGCCCTCTTGGATATAAATGTCCTCAATCACCTTTACATCATAATCCAATAGTCATTTATATTACTAAGTTTTTTTAATCTACTGCCTTCTTTTGAAAAAAACGCAATTTCTTCTACTATTATTTCTGTTTAATTTTCAGTGAATTTTTCCAGTGAATATAGTAAAAATTATCTTGTTTCTTTATAAACTGGTTACCAAATGATAAAAATAATTGATTCTTATATAAAACTAAAAATAATAATTAAAACATACCATTGCTTATTACTCTCCTGCCCAATTCCCATAACACAAGACCGACAGCATACATGTCAACCCTTCTTAACGCCTCGAAACACTTTGTGTCCAGCCTATACAGTTCAGAAAACATATTTTAAAAAATAATATAATCATAATCTAAATAAATAAATTATAATATCTAAATAATAATAGTCTAAACAATTCAATTAAGTTCTCACATACATATATCATTTTAAATGATGGGAGAAGTAGACTACCGCAGATAGGGAGTCAGTCCTACACCGACAACAAAAGATGACTGAAGCAGAATTTTAGAAATTCTTTCAATATTCGGGTCAGTAACATTGGATTCTTCAGTTGTTAAAAAAAAGATTTTATATCTATGTAAATTTTAAATCATCCAACTAATTGGAAACTCACTACTTGGTAATCTTGAGGTCCCTAAATCAAAAAGTGAAATCACATTTTAAAAATCTGGTGCCGTGCGCGCATCAAGCAACTTTTACTTATCACCCTCTTCTTGGCAGAAGTAAGTATCTTCAGACAAAGAGGAGGTGAAAGTAAAAATTATAGACTCAATATTTATTTATATTTAATTGTTGGTATTTTTATTTGTAAAAGTGCCCTTACATATACAAATTTTAATATGTATTTCGCTGTAATCTATACAATTAAATATTAAATAATACCAACAATAGCATTTATGAAAACCGCATATGTATATTTACATAATATTGTCGGAGTCTGTATTATATTAAGTTCATGTCACATAAATAAAGCCTATTCTAATATTTCAGCAAGTTCGGGTAAGCTAGGGAACGCTCATATTGCTTTGGTTCCTCAATTACAACTATTCTCCGTTACAATCTCTTATTTCTCCTTTAGTTGATTATCAAATTCTTTCATATCTAATATTTAACTATATTTTATATTAGAGATCAATGTAAAATGGACCATTGTTTCAAATATACTTTAGAGATACCAAGATACTTTAGAGGAAGCTAATATTGAAAATTAGCCATTTAAACCCTGTTAGAGAACATCAATCAGAATAAAACCTATATTTTATTTAAAACTGCTTAATTTTACAGATATAATGAATTTAATCAAAATCGTACGAGAAAATCATAAAAATATGTTAAGTCCATGATATAAAGTGCCACTTCTGGTTAGCCGATTTTGACAAAAAAGTTGTAACATCCCCAGCAAATAAAAACCTTAAATATGCAATTTCACTTTCACCTATATATTTCATATATAAGATAAGTGAAAGAGAAAATTCAAAACAGCTGATTTTTTATGATGATTGAAAATTTCAGAATCAATCTCATTAATACAAGATCCTGCCTTAGAATTTCCAGAGTTGAATAACAATTTGAACAAAATAAAGATGCTGAAATGAGTGGAAGATTTGATTCAGACACAGAAGATTGGTACGGGAATTCATAATGAGGGAGAGTCCCAGATAGAGCTATTCAAATTGATAAAGTTGCACCAGATACGCATAGACATGAAAGATCAAAAACATTTCATCAAGAAATTTTTATCTCGAGACTACTAAGGAGTCAGAAGTAACATTGTGTAATATTGCATCTCTCGAAACCTGATATGATCAACTTGAATGAGCCTTTACCAAACAGCTTTCATCAATGAGATGTACCTAAAAAGCTTTATAATCTATTTTGTCAAAACCAAACAAATAGATTAAAATACATTTAATTATATTCAACTTCAATCATTTTTATATAAAACAAGAATGTCTACATTTTTAAAAGGTAGAACATTAAAAAATAGTCAGAATAGAAAATTACTGAAGAATGTCATCACTAGGACTAAAAAGTTGGGAAAAAGAAGAAATTATTTCTTCATAAATGTTACATACAAAGACAAAAATTCTCAACTATTATCCTCGCACATTTCAGAAAATATGAAAAATAAGATCATTATAATATGGAAAAGAGGAATAGCAATAACAATATAAAATAATACTTATCATAAAACATTACAAACACATAGCAAAACAACTATTTGTAAAAATTGATGATTTACAACTACTGGATACAGATATATAAAATATTTCATAAAAAATAAAATATTAATGCTAACGTTTCATCAAGTAATTCAGGACTCATATATCTCTTGGTCCCCACACGAGTATTCGGAGCGATCTGTGTTAATCCTGTCGACTGAGTATGAGTGACAGCAAGGCCGAAGTCTGCTATAGCACACGTTCCATTGCTCTTAACAAGAATATTTTTACTTTTTATATCTCTATGGGCTATCGCTGGTTTCCCCTGAAAACAACAAAAATTACAATTAGTTGTTTTATTAATTAATGATATATGAGTTTTTATTGAAAACAATTCTATTACAAAGAAAAAAATTTTATATATATATATATATATGTGTGTATTAAATATTATATATATTATAATATATTATTATAATATATTATAATATATTATTACAAAATATTATTTTATTTTGTGATCCTTACCATCTAATATCCAAAACGCAGCAATGAAACACAGAAATTATATTAATCTAATGATTAATTTGATCAATTTTAATTCTTACAAAAATGATGGATGGTTGGATAATATGATAAAATACAAGCTTAGTATAGTTCAATATTAACAATAACAAATGTTTAAGCATTCAGTGACTTATTATTTTATTGAACACTCATAATGAGGAATTTATTATTTTTATAAAAAACATACACGAAATACATAGGGGAGGTGGTACCAGAATTCCTATTACAGAACGATGTGGATTTAATTCCCACGTGGATCAGTTAAATCTCGCATCAGACATGAGAAATGAAACTTGATCCTGTCTTTGTTACTAAGGGGCCTTTAAGAAGCCGTCGGGGATCTATAAAAAGGAATAAAAGTTCTACTTACTGGATTAGTCCTCCCCGTTGATAACACCACTCTAGTAATATCATTAATTTTTGCTTTCTTTCAAAACAATTTTTAACCACTGAGGTTGTGATAGCCAAGCATGTTAAAGCATAAACTTAAACCTTCTCGTAGTTAATGACATCGGTTTGAATCCGGCTGGTCTGAGTTGGTTAAAATATATTTTGTGATGGAACCAAGCAAAGAAATCAACCTTCCCACTCTAATTTAAAAAAGTTTGGTTGTCTTTCTAGAACAATCCTCATGCCAGGGGTAACAAGAAAAAAAAAGTTATTTTATCAGTCCTGATAGAAAATAATTTCTATCCAAAGTAGAGAGGTAAGTGAAAGTTGTGTGTTGTGCGCACCATATAAACCACCATAAAGATCTCGAAACAGTAGTATACCGTTTATTTATTTGTAGGAAGCAAAAGAAAGCTTTTACATTATATCTTGAGTAACAAAAGAATAATAAAAATATACAAATCACCTGAGTTACATTAAAAATATCTGTTATTTTCACTGATTCAGTTTTACTTTTACTTCTTCAAATAAATAAATCGTTGGTTCATCCAGGCTCCAAAGATGCTAATAAATGGTCTAATGGATGAGAAGACTTTTCAAATTGTTGGTCTCTGTTTGCTCTAACTTATCATCATAAATTGTTAAAAGAGCGACAAAATGAAGAAGTAAAAGTAAAACTGAATCAGTGAAAATAACAGATATTTTTAATGTAACTCAGGTGATTTGTATATTTTTATTATTCTTTTGTTACTCAAGATATAATGTAAAAGCTTTCTTTTGCTTCCTACAAATAAATAAAACATCAATTAATTATAAATATAATTAAATCTCTTTTGGTAGTTTTTGTTGATTTACCAGTTATAGCACAATTTTTTTATGGGCCTCAAGAGAGCTTTATAATATAGTTTTACAACATTTATTTCTCGGTGGTCTCAAGAAATGAATCTTGAAACTCTTGCTCTGGACGCTTTGGCTTGACAACCACTAGGCAGCTTTCAAAGTTTGAAAAAAATGACCATAAGGTCCATTTGCCAGTCTAGTTGTCGCCACCATCGCTACTAACAGTACCTCGACCAGTAATCTCTTTTTAAAATACACTTTTTAGTACTTTAATACGTATGTTTTTATTTAAATTTTCTTACATTTATTGCGCGTTCCAAACCGAAGCAAAATTGGAATCAATGATTACATGATTGCAACTGAAAATAAAATAAATACAATTTTATACTGATTACTATATAATAATTAAATTATTAGTTGATTACAATGAATGAAATCAGATTATTATTATAAACACGTAATCAAATCACTGTAATTGTAATCACAACAATTCTGAATTTTCCAGATGAAGAAATAAGTATTCAGTATTAAAATGCTTAACTTTAAAACGAGTACATTTTTTCAACATGATATAGTGAGATATTCATCTAAGATGCAGATAAAAAGACAAAGGTATTCTGAATTATGTATATATATAATAACAATCTTATCTAAATAGCAATGAATAGCAAAACTTGGTTACAACATATCTTTTTATAACCATTTCCTGGCTAAAATGATTTTTTTTTTCTCGATTTGGGTTTTCCAAGAATATTTATTTATTATAACAACCCCATTCTCCGGTTTTAACATTCTAAATGATTTTTTCTTTAATACTTTTTATAATTATAACTTTTGTTTTGTAAGTATGAGACAAATTGACTTGAAGTTATGAACACAATACAGGAAGAAAACAATGATGGCATCTTTACAGTCCAATGAATACGGGAGCTGAAACTGACACTATGTTCTTTCACATAATCCAACAATTGCTGGAGATGGAACCAACATTTCCTGCGGTCGGACTCCGTTGTTGTTGATTTATGGGGGTACGTGAAAATGCACAAAAGTGGTAGAAAACAACATTCTAATTGAACCCACTTATGTAACATGGGTTCCTAGTAATATTTAGTTTTTTGTGTGATATGATATTACTGATAAGTTTCTGTTAATTGAATGGTTGCTAGTTATACAGCTACTATCCAATATTTGCCTCAGTAGCTTTCAAGAAATCATGTTGTGAAAACCTATTTGTTAAAACAAAAATTTATATAATTAAAGAGTTAAAAAATTTTGCTGTATAAAAAAACAATGACCACTTAAAATCAAGAACATCAAAGATTCTATTCGTGTTTTATAATTTTGTTTTTATGATTTATCGGTAATACCAATCTTTCTCTCTGGACCTTAGGCCATGATAGGCCATAAAGAAATAAAATAATAATTTGGTTAAGTGGTATGGTGGAAAATCATTGTCAACCAATGATGATTTTTACCAAAATTGTCAAATTATTATAAACGGTCTTATAGCTTGGAAATGAGTTCCTTAAGAGGAAAATACCAAAGAAACAACATTGTAGTGCATCAATTTTGGCATCCACTGAGTACTAACATTTTTATTTCAGGCCAATTATTTATCTCTAATCGGGATTCTTTATTTCTTCATGAAATTCAGTATCTTTCGACACATTGTTTATCAAAATCCTTGGCTGCTGAGAGGTGGAAAAGAAGCTTATACTGCATGTAACAGACTCTAATCAAGAATAACTTAATAGAATAGACATCAATGCTATTGAAATATTAAAAATCATTGTATACCTTCATCACCTATTTCTAACCATTGGGAGATTACCGATTTTGTTCGGAGTAAGTGACCTACATTAAAATAGTTGGTAATCGGTGGACATAAAATTTGATGCTCTACAACTTTGATTGTATGGAGTTTTCATCTTAAGAAACTCATTTCCAAGCTATAGGGCCATTTATAATAATTTGACATAGTTTTTAACAAATTTGGCAAAAATCAGTGTTGGTAGACCGTGGTTTTCTACCATATTACTTAACCAAATTATTAGGTTTAGGTACTCCTTCAACACACAATTTAACATTCTTTAATTTATTAAAGAGTAGAGTTTTCGCTTTGATGTATCGTTTAGGAGTTAAAAATATCAAAAAAATCTGACTTTTTTGGCAGTAAAAAGTTTTCTCTTAGTGGTCCGCGTTAGCAATTTTGTTCTCGACATGTCTGAATCCATATATAGAAGTTAAATAAATAAAAACTTCTCCCACATATTTCGCAATGAATTTTCAGTTTCAATCCTCAAGTAACTGGCCTAAAATTCTTTAAATCAGCGGCTCAGGAATAGCAGAAAAGATTCATTTTACTCAGAATAACATACACTTATGTAATTTACAATCAAACATTCACCAGCGATGAGGTCGATTTTTGGGCCTTGAATCCAGGGTTACCAAGTTAAATGAGATATATATAACTTTTTTTAAATTTTATTTATATGATATTTACAACTGTATAAAAAAAAAAATTCATCTAGTAAATTCGCACATGGATACAATGACATGAAACACATGTTGAGAAACTACCCATTAGTAGCACTCTAATAATATGTCTATATTAGGAGATCATGTGGCCCTCTTCTTTTCAGACGCCTCGGAGGGTTATCAGGAATTGAATAGGAAGCAAGGTTAGAAACAAAAGGGTTGGGATGGTTATGAATTTTGTTATGGAAGGATAGATATCTGGATTGGGCCAAATCTGATACATAAGGAACATTAAGATCATTGTGGATAATTTTATTTGTAACAAAGTAAGGAGCATTGAGGATTCTACGAAGGATTTTGGATTGCAAGGATTGGATACGAGAGGAATTTGAAGGTTTGGTGGAGCCCCATAGCTCAACTCCGTAAGTCCAAATAGGCCTTATTATAGTCATGTAAAAGACTCTTTTGTAATTAATTAGAAGGTTAGAGCGTTTGTCTAGTAAGTGCTGAAGTAGTCGGAAACGTCGAGCTGCTTCTTGTCGTTTCAGTCTGGTATGAGGATTCCAAGTTAGACGTTTGTCCAGGTGGAGTCCTAGGTAACTGATTTGTTCAACAGGAATAAGTGATGTGTTGTTAAAGGATACTGAAGGACAAGAAGTCATTGGATTAGGACGGTATATATAACTATATATCAAACAATGTGTATTACAACAATGACACAACAACACACTACAGTCAAACAGTACATATTGAAGTTTTTTAAATTGAGATTTTTTTATTCAAACTTTGTTTGAAACTATAAATTTTTATATTAAAAAAAAAAAAAATCTTTGAAACTTTTGAAGGACCTTCATGTTTGATAAACATTACAGATATAACAATTTAAAGCACACGAAGTTGAAATAAACGTCCTAAACAAATATATAATCTAAGTGAACAAAACAATAATAGATCTAACTTACCTGGGTGCCAAATATTTCAGTATGCAAATGCACTATACCATTCATGGCAGATATCGCTAATGTAAGCATTGCAGCATGACTCAATGTTACCAAGTTCAAATAATCATACAACGAGCCATGAGCATGGTAATGTGTAACGAGCCACAACTGCGTACATGAATTATGAGATGTCATGTCGGATCCAATGTAGCCTAATATATTTTCATGGCGCAGTAAAACAGTACTAGAAAAAATAGAATAAATTTTTATTAAAAAAAAATTAAATATATATTTTAAGATAATATAAAAAAATTAATTTATCAAATATACTGAAATTTCTTCGAATGAATTACTTTTTAAAGATCTCTTATGAGATTATGTTAGCAGAAAAAAAATTAGACAGATTATTAAAAAGTTCACGACAGAGTTCTGACTCTGGCAAACAAAAACTAAAACCATGTGAATAGAGAGAACAGAAAAAAAAATACATATATATATTGAAAGATTGATTCTCTATGGCAGGAGTGATCTAAGCATGAACGGAGTGTCCTAACACAATGTGTTGGGAATCAGCTTGTTTTAACCCAATAGCCAATTTTGAAAAAGCATTTAAATTTTTTTTCTTCTTGATCTGACGAAAAAACTAGTGCGTGTATCATACAACTTCTACTTACCACTTTACTTTGGGAATAATTTTTTTTTTAAATGTTGGGCTATTGTAAAAAAATTTATGAAATGCATTTTCTTTTCAAGAACACATTTGTGAATTTTGTTGACATTTCTTAATCAAAATACTCACCAAGATTATCAAAATAACACAAACCCTATCCATTTTATCTCAAAAATATAAACACTAAGTGCACAATGTTTTGATTTTACAGATTACTAACCATAAAAATTAAACTTATTTACTGAATTGATTTTCTAAAATGTTACATAATGATGTTCCACGATTAACTAACAATAAATAATTATTAAATGGCGTGTGTGAATAATTCACAGTATATTGGCCAATGAACAAATCGTGATAAAATATGGAAATAAATAAATCTTTACATAATATTTCATAATTAAGCGAATATAGGTGTTTAGTTTTCTTTCTGTTGGCATTGCAGATCGTTTGCTATCTTAATCAGCCTTTTCCACCACTGTCTATGGGCTATTTCTTTCCAATTATCTGCTTGTAACTAGATTGTATTTCTGTTAATTCTATCTGTCTATCTTGTTAAGTCTTTTGTCTCCTATTGGGGCATTCATTGTTCTGTAGAGGCTTTCAAATGGATTGCTCCGAACTACATGCCTTTCCTATCCTAATCTTCTTGCCTTCATATTATGTGATATTGATTGACCAGTGCAATGCAGACACTGCAAATTATTACACAATGGCTTGTTATTTTCAAACAATTTAAGATCAAAATTAACATTACTTTTCATGTAACATTAAGGAAAATAAATAAAAAGGGATTCCTAACATTGGCCTTTATAATTTTCTTCTGTATCATTGATAATTTGCTGAAAAAATAGAGAACATTGCTAATAAAATTTGTTAAACAATTTGCTAGTAAAATTCGTAATCTTTTAAATAACCATACAACATCGACAAAAAATTGTATACTTCATGAGTTATTTAGAAATTTAATTCTACCACAACTCTTAACTTTTTTTCCAGCTTCTTTTTGTTGAAGTAAATTATATAGATATAAATTTAAGGTCATTGATGAGGAGACTTTAGCTAAGTTTCATTGAAATTGGTACATTCGTTTAGGCTCTTCAGTCTATAACAACAAATGTTTTTCGGCCGGCAAAAGGGGGAATAGCAATGTCGAGGTAGGAGGATCATCCTCGGGTGACCTCTGACTTTATTCCATATTAGAAAAATAATCAGTCCAATAGTCTCCGAGAAAAGCCACGGACGGACAAAAAAATTTCTATTCATTTTTCGAATTATACGTATCATGAAAAGTAAAACATCAAATTTTGAGGGGGGAGGGCTAAATTTTTGATTTTTTTGGACGATTACAATGGTTCATTATTGAAAATAATAAACCAAAATACTAACAGGGAAATATTGAAATGTATAATCTAAAATACAGCTTCCTGTATCATTGCGGCCTCTAAACATAAAAATCTTGTGTGCCCAACACACAACTTTCACTTACGGCTCAACTTTGAATAGAAATTATTTTCTGGCCATGTTGGGCAATTATAAAATTTTTGAAGTATATTTTTAACGAAACTACAGTTTAAAACTTACAGCTAACAAATCGTTAAGACCACTCAAATATTCATTTTTTTAAAATTATATAATTGCCTTACTTAGGTGGATTTTAAATACTTTTTTAAAGAGAGCTAAAAATCATAAATAAAGTAATCATAAATACCATTAAAATAACAAAACTCCAATTTATATCACCGGTTGATTATGGATTGTACGATCCATTGATTATGGATTGCACGATCCGTTGATTATGGATTGTATGACTATTAGTTATTAAACTGTTAATTTCCATCGCAAAGTTTACTAAAACGGAATTAAGAGATTTGCATTGTCTGTCGTAGACAGGTCAAAAGTTGTAACACTAATTGTAAGTGGATACTGTTGGAATAACACAAAAGGAAATTTCATCAAACTATTCACTAATTTAATTTTCTAAAAGGTTACATGATGATTTTTCGGAATAAACGGAAGATAGATACCTAAATATTTAAATATAATATCAGATGGATTTTGGGTCTCAATTACACTCCATACAAGAAAAAAAAAAAAACCGACCTCAATTTAGAGCCCCCTTTTCATGACAAGGTTACTGGGCTTTTTTTTTTTGGCAGAATTCATATTGGAAACAGATAATAGACCTTCTTAGTTAGATATCCAATCTATGGCTCAAAATAATTTGTATTTTAGCAGCTCAATAAAGTTTTACCATCATTATATATTCTGATGTAGTATAATTAGATTAAAATACGAAATAAAAAATTTTAACTGATACCTAAAGGTTAAGAATCTTGCCACTTTCCTCCAATTTATTTACTTCAATAAAATTCAGACAAGATGAAATTTATGGAGATAACAGTATGTTAGATAAAGATTACACTTTAAGTAAAGTACTTCATTAATGAGACGATACTAACCTGTAGATTTCTGTTTCTCTAGTCCAACTTGCTTCCTCGCGAGAAAAAAATATTTTTACAGCTACATTTTCACCATGCCAGATGCCTCGCCATACTTCACCGTAACGACCTTTTCCTATGCACTCCGCAAGGGAAATCTGCTTTGCAAGGGTCCTTTGAATTAAAAGAGGAAGGCCGCTACCTGAACCAGATGTCATACTATCATCATGGTAGCCCTAATGACAAAGCAAAGGATATTAATTAATAAGAATTATTTTTATTATTAACAATAACATAACATAAAAACCAATAAACAAAATGAGTTTTCTAAACTAATTGTAAGACTAATTTTAAGTAGAAAAAAAAATATTTTTTAAAAAAATTAACTAATTCTTTCAAAAAATTCAAGACCTGTGAGGTTATTACTCTACAGTTTTTTCTAAAACAGTAGCTAATTTTTTTGAAATAATTTGAGAACTTAAATGAACTGTCTCAAGTATAGAGGATCAAATTACAAAAAAAAAAAAAAAAAGCTTTTCAATACTGTGAATGATAAATATTCAGGACGCAGTCTTTTTAAAAAAACTTTTTAATTTTTTATTTATGCCAACGTTGAACACCGCCAGGTACTTGAACACCCTCAGTGCTCAAACCAAGCCCAGAAGATGACCCACATGCTTGAGTTGAAATGTTGGCATAAATAAAAAGTTGAAAATTTTTTTTTTTTTAATGGACTGCGTCCTGAATATTCATCACCCATGATATTTAAAACAGTCGACTAACTTTCTTCAATAACTTTTCAATACTGAATTTATAAACTGTTAATAATTGCATTGAATTTTACCAGTTAATCTCATTTTTATACTTACTGTAAGAGCTGTATCAGAAGCAGTTCCTCTAAAATCATCAGGTAACGCTGAATATAATGCATTCGGGGGTTGAGGGGGAGATAATCGTTTAACATAGTTCCGACGAAGAAAAAATAGAACAATAACTCCAATAGCTACTACTCCAATAACTGGACCCGTCACAGCCAATCCAAGTCGCCAAAGGTACCCGCCATTGTCCTCAGCTGACTTGATATCCACTAAAATGTAAGATTCCACTCAAATTAGTAAAACTGAAAACTAAACTACTTATCACAATTCAATCACCAATAAACTAATGACAATAACACCATATTAAGATTAAGTTCTTATAATAACAAAATAGTCCTTATTTCCACATAGGTATCAAGTCATTACTATATAAATATAGATCATTTAAACAATAGCAGTAACGTACAGGTATACATTTAGATTTAGACTGACCAAAAAATCAGAATATAAGAAAAACAATTGAGTAGCTTCATATCGAAGACGAACATCTGTTATTTTTAAAATGTCGAGAAAAAGCCAATTTTTGTAACATAGCTACAATTTAAACCAATTTTAATAATTCTGTATTATGATTCACAACTTGAACATTCTTAAATAAAATCATCAAAAACAGTTTGAGTTGAACCATTCCACTTTCCAAAAATGACAGGCATCCATCTTTGATATGAGGTCACTCAATTGTATTGCAATGCTTTTATAAGTAATGCTTTTATAATTGTATTGCAATGCTTTTTAAAGTTATGTTTAAAAATTATACAGTGTTCCATAAGCAGAGGGAAATTTTTATTAAACATATGATAAACTTTATAGTCAAACGATTGTTCTTTCATCTAGATTTAAGTTGATCTATGTTGATTGTTGAATCAGAATTAGATTTTTTCTCATGTCACAACACATTAAACCTAACTTTAATATAGAGGTTGCAATCGTAACACAAAAGTGTTTAAGCATTTTATTTATCAATATTGTAAATTAAACGTAATCTATTATTTAGGTGTTATAAAAACAATTTTACACTAATTGAGCTTTTACTGTAAGAAAATCTGGCCTCTAATCATTATAATTATTGTTAGACAAATTTATTCTAATAAAATAATCTTAAGCAAGTATCTACTGTCTGCCAGAAATAGAGATGTACCAAGTGTATTGCACTTCAGGCAGAGAGTTTGAAGGAGAAAGTATTGAATTACTTAATTAAGTGTAAAATATATTGTTGTTTTTTACTTTTGTATGAACTTCCAAGACAAACCTTGTACAACCCTACATAATGTGTTCAAATTTCATAACTATTTAAATTTGAAGTACAAACAATTTTTTTTTTAGAGTTTAACCCTTTGATTGCAGATGGGATACATGCGTTCCCGGTAGTGAGTTGTGTCACTGGTGAGGTCGGGACAAATACCTTTCCGCCTGGACAGTCGCCACTTAAACAGGTAGGGGCAAGTCCCACCTTCATCATTTGACTTGTGTATTCATTAGTCCCCTGCAGCTAACTCAGTGCAGTTGTTCCGGTTTCTAATCATTTGAAAGCTATCAGTTGCGGATTTATTCTGAACCCAAGGAATGTCCTTTGTCTGATATTTGTGTCCATGATCTTATTTATATTCTATTTAAATGTTTTCTCCATAAAATAAAAGCCCCAGGCTCTGACACACTGTCTTCTGAATTCTTCAAGGAAGGTAGAGAGGAGCTCATAAAGCTGTTACATAACTTCCTAGTTTTGATTTGGACTGAGGAAGTAATATCAAAAGATTGGAATAAAACAATTCTCTGCCCTGTGCACAAGAAAGGGAGTTTGCTTGAATGCAAAAACTACTGAGGTATTTCGCTGTTACCAAGCGCCAACAAAATCTTCTCTAATATATTTTACAAGTGCCTCCAGCCGCATGTTGAAAAAATCTTGGGGAGATATCACTGTGGTTTTCGCCAGGGTCCATAATTGATCATATGTTCTCCTTATGCGTTGTTATGGAGAGTGGCCAAGAGTATTGGACACCCACACACCACTTATTTGTGGATTTCCAGTCAGCCTAGGATAGTGTTCAGCGTGAACCTCTATACCAGGCCATGAAAATTTTTGATTCCCAAAAAAACTTAAAACACCTGGTAAAAATGACTATGAAAAAAGTTGAAATTGTGGTGTGTATTCAAAGCGATCTCTCTCGAGGATTTACAGCTAAATGGAATCCGACCAGGAGACTCCCTTGCATGCCTATTGTTTAACTTATGTTTGGAAAAAGCGGTCAGAGAGACAGGAATCCAGACAAGAGGAACCTTTTCTAACCAGAGTGGGAGAGTCGAGTATCATTCCGTGGGACCGCCACGAAATAAAAGTCAACCAGGGCAGATTTGAACTGCTTTACTAGGCACAAGGATGCTAAAATGGGAACCCCGTATGGCAAAAATGCCAGGAAGGGGGTAAAAAAAAAAAAAAAAAATGGATGCTAAAATGGACAACGCTCTAACACACATCAATCATGACCTCCAAACAAGAGAAACCATCATCAATCACACAATTCAAATTCTTGGCTACTCAGATGATTTAGACATCATTGGAAGATCAAGAACGGCTGTAAAAGAGGCCTTCCTTGCCCTTGAGTCATCTACCAAAAAAATGGGTCTTGTCGTGAACTCTCAGAAGACTAAATACATGGTCTTTAATGAAATGAAGCCTCTTGATGAAGTTAACATACAATTTGGGTTCTACACATTTGAATGTGTAAGTGAATTTATATATCTAGGCTCCCAAGTAAACGAAAATAATGATATTTCGGCTGAAATAAGAAGAAGAATAACATCTGCTAATAGATGCTATTTAGGACTTCGCCGATAGTTTGGAAGCAGTTTTCTTTTCAGAACTAACAAAATAAGACTGTACAAGATACTCATCACATACCTATCAGAAACATGGGCTTTTTCTAAAATTGATGAGCGAAACCTTTCTAAATTCGAAAGAAAGATTTTGCGACGTATTTTTGGTCCACTAAGAGAACGCAACATGGAGATTGCAAACAAACAACAAACTGTACTCCATATTAAAGGAAACAAATTCTGTTAAAATGATAATGCTTGGCAGGCTTCGATGAGCGGGTCATGAGGCCAGGGTGGATGCACAAGAAATTCCTAGGAAACTCCTCGATGAAGAATTACATGGAAAAAGAGCAAGATGGCATCCCAAATTACGATGGGCTGATGGTGTAAATGGAGATTTGAGAAACCTGCTCGGTGTTCGAAGCTGGAGGATAGCAGCACTTGACCGAATTAACTGGCAAAAGCAGCTTGAGGAAGACAAGACCCAGTGATGGGTTGTAGAGCCGATTGATGATGATGATTATATATAAAATAAATTTTAATAAGTTAATTTTATAATTTTTTTTTTCATTAATTTTGGTTTTGACTGAATGTTGATTTTGGTAAACGTGAACATCTACCTACTAAACAAATAAATGTAAGTTTCCTACTTTATATATATATATATATATATATTGTAATATACACCTTTATTCGAAGTGAGTAAAAATGATTTAATAAATTAATGTTGAACAATTAAAAGGCAAGCTAATCTAGTTCTACTAGTGCAGGAAAAAGGAAATGGCTACTCTTTAATTTCCCAAGAAGGAAAATCCCAAAGAGGAGAGGGACAAAGGTTTTAGTTTTGGCAAGCAGCTGGTGTGTGGCTGTAGTGAAGTGAGGATGGGAGAAGTGATCCTGGCTCCAGTGGGTAAAACCCAGTAATAGTATTACCATTTTAGAAGTTGTGTTAGGCAAAACATTGGAAAGTATTTGAAGACAAAAGAATTTAGTGCAACAAAAGAAGAAACAGTATATAGAGAAAAAAGGTTAGCTAGTCAATCCATATTTGACTTTATTTTAAAATCAATGTTTAATTTTAATATAAATTGTGTAAATAATAATAGTTTCTCAGAGTTGATCTGATTGTCAGTAACCCACACCTGAGATAAATAAATATATTAATACTCTTATAATTTTGTATTTTATTTAATAACCTCGAATTTATTTAGGAAGTATCCCAATAGTATTAAAGTGAGCTTCCAAGGTTATTATTATTATTATTATTTGTAAAACATAAGAGGTATGTTACAATATATATATAAGTGCAATAGTAAAATTTATAACTGTGCTCATATAATTTAATTTTTATGATCACTTTCAGTTATTTTTGTGATCATTTTCAGTTATTTTGCTTTTCAGAAATGAGCAAATATGCAAGAAAGCAAAGCGTTGCGGGATTGCCACTCCAATTTTGCATTGCTATATGCGGCCAGGAAGGCATATATCCCATTTTTTTAAAGTTGAATAAAAACGTTAAAATGCATTTTTGAAAGCTAAGATCTTGCAGGGTGATTCAAAATGGCATTTTAAACAACTTATGTGAACACCAAAAAAATTGTTTTTTTGGATATCTTAGTGGATTTCAGGATGCAACGTAAAATAGAAACTTGCGAATGAGCTCCTGCAGCCAAAGGGTTAATCACACATTTTTCAATAACCTGATGAATACAAGATAATGACAAAAGTCACGGATAGCATGCTACCTACCATAAACCATATCTTCCTGTTATCTAAACAAATTAATAAAATTTTATTATGTACATTACAAACACAACACATACCAACAAAGTTATCCATAGCCAGTTCAGGAAATGAGCCATTATTACAAAAGTCTCCTTGACAGCAAATCATCTTAAAGTGATTGTATTTAGTTTGCACAGAATCATGGTGATGAGAACAGAAGAAACGAACTTGATCAACCTTAGTAGTACACCCTCTTGACTTCAACACTGTACCATTACTGTCCCTTTCTATGTATTTCCAACACTATAACAAAACATAGTATATATGATAATATAAATAATATACATGATATAAATCACAATACAATATATATTAACTAAATTTGCATCAAATACTAGAATTTGAAAAAAGTTTTTGGTAAAGACCTATTATGACATTATAAAAGTAAGTAACATAACCAAATAAACAAACTTCCACAGAAGGTATACATACAAATTATTGGCATAATACATTATAAATAAATACAAAGCTACTCTAAAGTTATTACCACTGCAAGTTTTTTAATAATACATTAAATAAGGTTATTGTAACACTTTAGTAGTAATAAAATCGAAGAAAAATACTTCAGGAACTGCCAAATCTCCAAAAGTTAAAGGAATGCCCTAAAAAGTGGTCTTATTATATCAATCAATAAGGAATGGCAGTTGCTATCAGTGTTTGATTAATATTATGTTCCCTTCATCAGAAAGAAACTGTTGTCAATTCCAGTCTTGGCCACAATAATGTAACATCAACATTAAGTCAGTCGCATGGCTTCAATTTTTAATTTTTACTTTCACTTACCTACATATGTAATATGTAGTAAGGGTAAGTATTGCGATCGTGAAAATTTTTGAGTCTGAGTTTTCAACGGAAATACACGTTTTGAGGTGCCCTGAGTCCAAATAACCAAGTCCTGAAAAATGGTCTGTGAGTATGTTAACACTATAGCTCAAAAACGAAAAGTCCTTCGAAACTGATATTACATATTTAATATAGGTAGGTATAAGTCATAGATGTTGTGGCAACTTTTCCTTTAAATCATTTTAAATAATTAACCATCTTTCATTATTAAAAGTTACAAAAAAATTCTAAATATAAGTTTTGAAAGAATTTGATAATTGAATAAAGGAGAAAAAAATAAAAATACAGCAAACTATAATCATTTCCAGGTGAATCACCATTATAACTTTGTTGATCCATCGACTGGGGGCCATACTCAACATGTAGAATGTTTATGGGGCTCAGCTAAGTGGAGAAATAAGAAACAACACCTCGATTCATATTAATGTAAATTTTTGTGGCGGCGGGCTCACAGAGAAGAGGACCTGTTCTTCACTATTTTAAATAGCATTCAGCTAATTTGCCTTCCAAAATAAATCAACTGAATGATGTATGTTTATAAAAAAGTGTTATTTATATTTCTTATTAATATATATATATATTTTTTTTTTTTTCGGTTGGCACTACAGACCAAGAAGATCTTTGGCTGCGAGATGTGGTCTTCTTACAGACGTGTGATACTTGCGGGAGCTAAGATAGCCTGGAGGGAGTCACCCAACCTCACGTTGCTACGAACCATGGTTTCCAAGGTGCAGCGGCAGGTCACCCGTAGCTCCATAGCCGATCCCTATGGGGCCTATCTGGCAATGTCCTTCCCACAGACTTTCACGGGTTCAAGGACAGTGACAAATCGGTCTAGGCGCACGAGGACCTATATTTCTTTCCCCGAAACAGACTGTCCATGGACCGAACCTCAGTGGGGCTATTAACATCCTGGTAAACCACATCCCAATTCCCGATTTAAGTACACAAGGTAGGGTCATCAGTCCTACGCCCGGTCGGTGTCAGTTGCCTCCAGTAGAATGACGGGGCTCACACAACCCGGGGGAGAGACTCGGGCAGCATGGCTTTCCCTGGAGGACGGTCACCCAAATCGGGCGGTCACCCATCCAAGTACTAAACACGCTCGATGTTGTTTAACTTTGATTACCTATAGCAAGCGCGTTAGCCCGTACGGCTACCCCAGCCCCATATATATACATACTACATACATGGGGGTACCCATATATATATATATATATATATATATATATATATATATATATATATATATATATATATATATATATATATATATATATATATATATATATATATATATATATATATTTATATGTATATATATATTTATATGTATATATATATTTATATGTATATATATATTTATATGTATATATATATTTATATGTATATATATATTAATATATATATATATATATATAAGATAAAGACCGGAGACCGGCGATATCAGCCTTAATACCGTCCTGAATGTAAATAAACATATGAAATGTATATAAGGAGGATTACTAAAGGAATAAATTAGTATCTTTTCTGAAACCGTGAGTGTTGCATTTCAAGCCCTTTCCTTTCTTTTTTTTTATTGTTAGAGTCCGCCGACGCTTAACTGGTGCCGAAACCCGGGACTACGACAGGAGAACAGAGAAGTAATTTTTTTTTTAAAGTCATTTTTTTTTTCTCTTGGTTTTTTTTTCTTTTCTTCTCCTAGTCATAAGGAAAGAGTGAAATGCCAACAGAGGGCTTAATCAGGCCGGGAGTGTTGAGCGCCCCGGAAATCCCTCAACCTCAAGAAATCCCGCAGATACCTCAGATCGCGCAGGCCCCTCAGGTGCCTCAGATACCTCAAATACCTCAGGTACCGCAGATTCCGCAGATCCAGGAGATCCCTCCCTTACCGAGGGACACATTGGCAGAAGCGCACGCTAACGCGCTGGAATGGATGAAAATAAGAGCGGCGACCACGCAGGACCTTCGAAGAGCCATTGCGGACCTGGAACGCTTCGGTGGCGAGGTAGGTGAGCTCAACCATTTCCTGAAAGGCGGAGACCGCCTCATGTCTAGAATAGAGGTAAAGGTGGCGGAGGACCTGGTAAACCTAGGGGACGCGGAAGCGTTGAAAGCGGCTCTGGTGTGCCGAGTAAGGAGGAGCATCCTGAACCAAATTCAGGCGGACGAGGAGACACCATGGCCGGTGATTAAGGAGCGACTGAAGAAGGCCTTCGGAGGAGGCAGATGGACGCCGGAGGAAGACATCTTCCAAATGTTTAGGGAGCGCCGGTCCCAACGTCAGACGAGGGGCCAGTATGCGGGGGTACTAGTGGCAAAGTACAACCGCATAACGGAGAAAATGCGCGAAACAATGAGTGTGGGAGAGGTGGAAGCCAGGATGGAGTTCCTCTCGACGATACTCAAGGTCCAGTTGGCGAAGGAAACGGGAAGGAGAGACGGATTGCCCAGGGAGAGATCATTCCTCGAGTGTGCCCAGGAAATGATCGACCTAAGCGCAAGGGAAGAAGAGACTCGGATGGACGTGGAAGAACCAGGGTGGATCCGGGTGAATGACAGACGACCCCGGACAGCCCCGATGGGTTGGAAGAGGAGAGAAACGGTACAGCCGAGCGGAGAAAAGGTCAGGATGGGTGAAAAAAGATCCGGACAAGTGAGGCCGAGGAATGGACCCCGCAGGGAAGACAGGAAATGTCATGGGTGCGGAAAGCCAGGACATTTAGTTGCACAATGCCCGCGCACTAGATGTTTCGAGTGCGGTACCGAAGGGCATATTGCTAGGCAGTGCCCGTACATATTCCGGAGGAGAGAAAGAACTCAAGACGAGCCCATGGAAGTAAACACGCAGAAGCTGACAAGACGGGCTAGGATGCAGCGGAAGGACGGATCTTCGGGGAGGCAACCGAGGAGTCGGGAACTTCGGAGACAGAGACGGACGAACCAGGTAGCAGTGGAGGCGAAGGAGGCAGGAGCAGCCAACGGACCGAGCAGCGACGAACGGCGGCGGGGAGGAGGAAGCTGGGCGGCATCTGAGGAGTGTGGCAGCAGAGAGGCGACCGCACAGCAACATGCAACAACATCCGAGGTAAGCCATGCTGGTTGCCAATTATTGAGGTAGACGGGGGAGTAAAGTGCCTCGTGGATACCGGGAGCTCGAGCACTATTATGACCAGAGGGGCGTTAGGGAAAGTGTGCGGGAGTGAGAGGGCACTCCGGATCCAAAAATGCGATTGCCAACTAATCACTCTGGGTGGCCCCTGTAGCGTAGAGGGAGAAGCGACAATAAGACTTGATCGGTGGGCAGGAAAAGAGGGCGAACTGAAGGTACACGTAGTAAAAAACATGACTCGGGAATACCAGGTCATAGTGGGGTGCGATTTGTTGGGGCAGGTAGGGGCGAGCATTAGGAATCGTAGAGGAGCCTGGAGTGTTAGGTTGGGAAAGAGGAAGTTCGGATGTATAGGGGTCGCGAGAGAAAGAAGGGTGCGGATAGGGGCGGTGAACAGAGTGGAGGACTGGAGGAAGTTGCTACAGGAGGAGTTTAGGGACATTTTCTTCAGGGAAGGTGAGGTATTAGGGGTAACAGGGAGGACGGTGCATGAAATCCCACTGAAGCAGGATAGGGTAACTTACGTGAAAGAGAGAAGATACCCGCAGGCGTTGAGGCAGCATATTCGAGAGGAGCTAGATAGTCTAAAAGAACAAGGGATCATAGTTGATAGCACCTCACCATTCAATAGTCCCCTGTGGGCGGTGAAGAAGAAGGCAGCACCGGGGGATAATAAGGAAAAATACAGGGTGGTAGTAGACTATCGTAAATTGAACGATAACACGGTAGACGAGAAGTACCCGATCCCCAGATTCGAAGATATACTGGATAGGTTGAGTGGAGCCGTGGTCTTTAGCACGTTGGACCTTAAGGCGGGATATCACCAAATACGGATGCACCCGGAAGACCAACACAAAACAGCGTTCACATTCGAAAGGGGGCATTATGAATTCACAAGAATGCCGTTTGGTCTGAAGAATGCGCCCATAACATTTCAGCGTCTGATGGACGAATTTTTGAGGGGTATCGATGACTCGGTATGTCAGGTATATATGGATGACCTGCTGATTTTTAGCAGAACGGAAACCGAACACGTGGGACATCTGAGGTCAGTATTCGAGAGGCTCCGGAAATTCGGGCTGAAATTGTCAAGCGAGAAGTCTCTGCTGGGACAAACGCGGATTAATTTTTTAGGCCACACTATCTCTAGCGAGGGGGTCAGACCGGATGCGGCAAAGGTGGAGGCGATCACAAGGATGGCGGTACCACGGGACGTGAAGGGGATCCGTAGGCTTCTTGGGACGCTGAACTACTACCGGAGATTCGTACCTGAGATGGCAGAGTATTTGGTACCCATTAACAATTTGCTGAAGAAAGGCGCGAAGATTGTGGTGACTCCAGAGATGGAGAATAATATCCGAAAATGTATGAATAGGTTGCTGACAGAGCCGGTGTTAGCGTTCCCGGATTTTGAGAAGCTCTTTAATATAACCACCGATGCGAGCGAATACGCGTTAGGGGCCGTTTTGTCCCAGGGGGGGAGTGAGGGTGAACGACCGATAGCATACGCGAGCCGTCGGCTTACGGGTGCGGAATCGCGATACAGCGCTTTGGAGAGGGAGCTACTCGCGATAGTGTGGGCTATCGACCATTTCAGGCCATACGTATTTGGGAGGAAGTTTCGAGTCCACACCGACCACAAACCCCTGCAGTGGGTAGGGAAACTTAAAGAAACCTCAGCTAGGGTCACGCGATGGAAGGAAGTCCTTAGTCAATACAATATAGAGGTGGTGTATAAGCCGGGAAAGGAGAACGTGGTGGCGGACTGGCTCTCGAGGGCCATCATGATCAACGCGGTAGAAGAGGACGGGGGAGGACCATCGCGAGACGTGCGCCAATTCTTGAGTGAATGGACTCCCGACGGCGAAGGAGCGGAGGATATCGTCGGTATAGATGACAGGGGAGAGTCCCCGGAAGAGGAGAGCTCAGCGGAGGAAAGAGCAGTGGAAATGGAGGAGATAGACGACATCATCAATGACAAGTATCGTCAGGTAATCTGGAAAACGAGAGTAGCAGGGATGATGAAAATAGATTATCGAAGATATGGGAAAAGCAAGATTCGCGTCATCTGGTCGCAACCCGGGGTGAGTGAAGAGCAAATTTGTACGGCACTGAAGGACGCCACGGAACCTGGAAAGACGCACCATCTTTATGTGGGGAATAACACGGTATGGGATAAAATAAAGCGGATGTGGAGATCCGAGCGAATTGGTGTGGACAGAACACTCATCCGTTGTAAGTACGCAGTGGAAACTATACAGGATGAGGAACAGCAACAGGCAGTCACACTAGCTTATCACCAGGGGAAAACCAACCACCGAGGCGTGAACGAGACACTGCAGGCATTACGTCGAAAGTATTTCTGGTGGGGCATGAAAAAATCCATCCAAGAGGTCATAGGGAAATGCGAGGTGTGTATGCGCACGAAATATGATCGACACCCCCCCAGAGGGATTCAGGAAGAGACACCGACGGGGAATATGCCACTACAGGACCTCCAGATTGATACATTTACCTGGAGAGGGTTCAAGTGGGTCACGGTCATCGACGTCTTTAGCAAGGTAGCTATGGCACACCAGGTCATGGACAAGTCTGCCAACGCAGTTGCGGAAGCCCTACAAACCTGGGTGCAGTTCTACGGGGTCCCCGAGAGGATCACATCGGACGGTGGTAGGGAGTTTGACAATGCCGCGATTAGGGAGGAGGTGAAACGACTAGGGATTCGTTGGCATTATAACACCCCGGGACATCCTAAGGGTAGAGGCGGCATTGAGCGGTTGCACAGCACGCTGAGTGATCACATCCGGGTGTATCAGGGGGAAAAAGGGTTGGAGCCGGATGTTGCAATGAAGAAAGCGGTAACAGCCTACAACCACTCGATTCACTCCGTCACGGGATTTTCGCCCGTGGAAGTACTATTCGGGATGCGCAGGCCAAGGCGAGATTGCGGGGAAACAACGGTTAATGAACCATTAGTCGAGCAAATCCAGAGCAATAGGGTGGAGATGGAAAAGACGTGGGGAAGAGTAACGGCGAAAATTAAGCGGGAAAAGGAGAAGCGGGTAGAGAGGCAGAATGTTCGCGTACGTGACCAAATGGGTGATCTAAAGATCGGGACAATAGTGTACCGTAGAGTAGGGACCAACAGAGGGAAACAATTGTTACGATACGAGGGTCCATTCAGAGTGATTGCTATTAGGGAGCATAATCTACTAACGATCGAAAGCGTTAATGAACCTAGAAAGAGGAGAACGGTTCACATTGAACAATTGAAGCTCCCAATGATAGAACCGGAACATAAACTAACGGATTCGTAGTACCCTCACCACGTTATAACAAATATGTTTTTTTGGTTGTCTAAGCAGAAATATGGTGTATTTTTTTTTATGTGTAAATAGAATCATAGCAATACAGTAGAGGAAAGTGTATTATTTTTTTTTTCTTCTCTGTTTTTTTTAGGATTTTAAGAATTCTGTTTTTGGAAGCAAGTGTTGTGTTTAGTTCTGTTTTTTATTTCTTTGTATTATTGTATGTCTCGAGTGAGTTTTACTTTCTTTCAACTTTATACTTGTAAAAACAATTGTAAGGTGTTAAGACTGATAATCGTTAGCTCCGATCTAGGAATATCTAAGTTTCCGAAAAATCCTATTCGTAAACTGGTGGGGGGGAGATAAAGACCGGAGACCGGCGATATCAGCCTTAATACCGTCCTGAATGTAAATAAACATATGAAATGTATATAAGGAGGATTACTAAAGGAATAAATTAGTATCTTTTCTGAAACCGTGAGTGTTGCATTTCAAGCCCTTTCCTTTCTTTTTTTTTATTGTTAGAGTCCGCCGACGCTTAACTTATATATATATATATATTTATATGTATATATATATTAATATACATATATATATATATGTATATTAATATATATTAATGTTGTCAAATAAAAGTGTATTGTTATATTATTACATTTGTTTTTGTGTTTTTGAATTTCATATGAAGATAGAGATTATCAGGGCCTTATCATAAATATCAGTGTTCAGGTTACAAACATTGGCAGATAGCTATCCACAGAGACCACATCCTTCACAAGTACCACTTTACCTTACTATACTCACTCATAAAAAATATAATCCCTCATAAGGGTTTCCTTGAATAAACATAAATATGGTAGTTATGAATGGAAGCTTGATTAAACTATAATCTCAATCAAAATACTAATAAATAAATAAAAAGATATAAAAGCTATACTATGATTAGAAATACGTGAAAAACAATTAAAAATTTTGGTGATGCTATGAAGATGGAAGCAAAAATTACAAAAACCAAGACTGCCAGACAAAAAAAAGAAGGTAATTGGTTGAATGTTTAAATACACATATAGCATAAATAAACACCAAAATTATTATTAAATTTAATTATAGAAAATTAATTTTACTATAATTTCTACAATGTTAACCAAAATTAAAATTAGCAGAGAGCAGTAAAAAGAGAGTGGAGAGCAGTGAAGAAATGCAAAAAGAGAAGTCTTGACGTACATGGAGACAACTAATAGTAACAATTGGGCCGTAGCAACGGACTCAAACAGTACAATTGTAGCCATAGAAAATAAAAAACCGACAACCACACTGGCAAGAGCTATGAGAAATATTTAGTGTAAACTAATAGAAAAGAGAAAGAAAATAATGTTCTTCTGGGTTCTTTCACACTGTGGAAGCATCAGAAACCAACAGGCAGATAAAGCAGCCTATATGATGAAAAAGAAATCCTGCTGTTATAATTAACAAAATCCCCACAGAAGACCTTTTATAACATATAAAGAAAGAGTTGAGGAAAATGTGGCAGAACAGATAGCATCAAAAAGAAGCTAAAATAAAAGAAATAAAAAGCCACTGTTCCACATGAAAACCTCTAACTGACTCTCGAGGAAAGAAGAGATAGTCCTCTGCCGATCGAGAATTGGGCATTGTTCTCACATAACTTATTTACTAAGAGGACTAGACCCACCAACATGCGAAAGTTGTAAGGGGCAAAGAACAGTCCAACACATCCAAGACTGCCCAATATTTAAAAAAAATTGGATATGGCTCAGAGCCTAAAAGAAAACCTGAGAGGAGAAAAAACCTTGAAATTTTTAAAAATTATATAATAGAATATAAGCGAAATGTGTTGTCAATGACCCTACAGGGTAGAGGCAACAATCAACACAAATAAATAAATACTATTAAATAAAATTACTTCTTCGATAAGAACAATAGACAATCTAACAAGAACATCTACTCATTTACTATGATAACTAAGGTTCATAAAAAAACTATCAAATGAAATCTTTAATTAAAATAAAATAAGAAAAGTGGGGATTTTCGCACGTTATACAAACTAGAATAGTTACAGAAAGTTTTAAATAATTATAGGTACATAGAAAATTGTAATATATAATAATTAGGAGAAAAACTAACAGAGGATACATAGTGATATACATAATCTGGCATAGACAGACTAAACTTAGAGCATTTTAAAATTTAAAATAAACTTTTAACATGTTCATCGGTGATAATCTAATGAAGTATGGCTATTACACTGTTTATAATGCAAACAAAATCGGAAAATTAATAAGACATGTGTAAAATTTTAATGATTAACTTTAAAACAGAACTAGTTTTTAAAAGATTACAATTTTAGAATTGGACTTACTTTATAAGCATGATAGCAAACTTCAACTGAGTTACAGTTAGGAGATTCACAAGAAAGACATTTAAATTTCTTTTGATTTGATTCTATGCTATCACTTTTAAACTTTTTCAATGAATCCACAGATTCCTCTTCAGGGGGATCTTCATTGTCTTGTAATGATGTAAAAAGACGGTCTCCATTCACTAATGATAGGCAAAAATACAATTAGTCTCTAATAACATCAACATTTAAGAGTTATGCTAACTAAAGAGATGCTTTTGTTGTTCATAAAACAGAATTTAGCATTTATAAAATGTTACATTATTCAAACAGTAACAAACAACTAACAGGTTTATGAAAATATTAAACCTTGTTTTATATAACTAAACAAACATAAATAAATCAAATGAAACAAACACTTACCATATCCTAAAAATAATATATAAATACAAAATAACCTAAATACACCCATCGTCAACAGTTAACATTTCAAGACATGAATAATTGTACGAAGAAATAGCACATATCTCTACAATTATCACGAGCCATTAGTAAACAGATAAATAAATTAGTCAAATATCATAGAGAAGATTGTTAAATCGAAAAATGTCATCTAAACATTATTTAACCAACAACTGTTATGGACGCCGTATCAACAGTGTTGCCAGCGTACCAAAATCATTTTTCTGTCACTTTTAAATCAACAAACGAAACAAGGGGAGGGGGGTATGGTGATCGTTCTTAATTTCTACCAATATTTTTTTAATTTTGTCAGTACTCAAAGTATTAAGTCCTTCTTCTATAAAAATTATTATTTATACCTAATTGAGGAAAGTGCTTCACCGTTCCTTTCAAACTAAAGTAACTGGAACTATTTCAAATGTCAACTATAAATAAAAATGCATTGGATTATCTAGCTGATTAACAATACTTCAGTACATACGATCTAATATTCAATTTTCTAAATTTAGTACATACATTTTCACTTAAACAATAAAATAAAATAAAAAAATAAGAAATCACAATTCATGATCCCATACATTATAAATTCGATCTACAAAGGAAGTTAGAAGTTTTATTCGCCGCTGTAAAATGGTAATGTTCAGCTTTGTATCATAACGAAATTTTAATTAAATAGACCAATAATGCCAGCAGTGGCATGTGCATACTGCTGCTACAACCCATATTGCCTAAAAAAAATTAATCTCTAAAGTAGATTGTTTATCCTGCTTTTAATATATCAGTAACTATATCTGTTGTTATCAACAACAACTTTTGTTGAAACTAGCTTAGTATTGTGTTTGCTATTTGCACTGTGGATATGGAAGAAAATATCATTCATTACCGGCATATTTTGTTGTATTGTTTTAAAAAAGGTAAGTGTGCTGCAGAAGCTCATAGAAAAATTTACAGTATTTATGGGGATGATGACTTAACCGAATGCACCTGTTAAAATTGGTTTGCCAATTTTATTCAGGAAATTTTGACATCAATTTCGCCCACATGAAATTGAAACGAGCAATGTTAAGGCCATTGTTGATCAAAATCCCACCCAATCAGTGCGAGAGATTGCTATGGCTCTAAATGTGTCGCACAGAAGCTTAGAAAACCATTTGCATAAGCTCGGCTGTTTCCAGGCCACATAAACTACCCAAAATGACATCAACAGAACCTTCGTTAAAAAACTACAAATAGAGATAAAAAATAAAAACCTATAACGAGTTTTTGTTTATTTATTCCATATGTAGGCATTAAAACATAAAACCATTCATACGGATTTGAAGAACAATAATTCAGCTTTCCAACGGATATAGTAACATCGAATTTGGAGAACATCCTGAAGAGTTAAGAATGATCGGAAGGATGTTTGTTGTATTCTACCAAGACAACACTAGGCCCCACACCTCATTGGTCACTCGCAATAAATTATTGAGCCTCGGATGGGACCTTTTTTCCCACCCTCCCTATTCATCAGAACTAGCTCTAAGTGACTACCACTTATTCCGATCTCTGCAGAACTCCATAAATGAACAGAAATTCCAAATGAAACAGGACATCAAAAACCACTTGGATCAGTTTTTTTAACAATAAACTCCAGACTTTCTATGAACATGGCATTATGCAGTTATTGGAAAGATGGGAAAAAGTCATATTAAATAATAGTCAATATATTGTAGATTAAAATAAATTGTATGTCTATAATACATTGAGTTTTAATTCACCCTGAAAAACCGAAAGGACTTATTTGCCAACCCAATAGTATTGAATGGTTTGGTATTCAATAACATTCAATAATGTTGAGGTATATATACGATCAGGCTATTAAAAGAACCAGAATTTGTATAAAAGCCACATCAATACAGCATTAAATTTGAAAAATAACTTTAACGGCGTCGTTTGGGTTAATTGAGTTGTAATAAAGTGTACTTTCGTTCTTTTAATACAAATTTATGTATTTGGATAAACCAGTTATATTATTCTCATATCCTTTTATAGTTTTCACCCGATAAATCTATCAGTCTGGCCAGAGACAGCTACCTGTACACATCGCTATTACTCTCTTATATTATCAGTTCTGATTTTTTAAAATTTTAATGTTCAGTACAGTTCATTATAGTTGAGTGTATTTTTCTTCTAACAGTATCAGTATTCACTGTGATTAGTGTAATATATTCACTTTTATCTACTTAAAGAAAGTGTCGTGAATCCAATTGAGTTCTAGAAGCTACGGGAGTGTAAACGTCTACTAATCCCTACAGCATTAGACAACACTGTTTACTGCGTTCATCAAAACAACTCTCTCCCGGTATTTATTTACATTTTTAACTATTCTAATTAAATATGGTGCAGTGTAATATTTGCAATAATACTATTGCACGCGAAGATAAAAACAATCTTTGTTGTGTAAAATGCAAAATTATTTTTCACGGTCGGTGTCTCAATCTAAGTGAAAAAGAAATTGAAGCCTTAAAAGCACACAAAAAAACTTGGGTATGCCCTAATTGTGACCAGACCAAAAAACCTAACACTGAGCCGTCCGCCTCAGAAATACTGGCGGCAGTAAATCGCTTAGACTCGAGTGTCAATGAAGACATAAAAAACATAAAAACAACCCTCGATAAATATGGAGAGCTCAATTTTGAGCTTAATGAAAAATTATCGAAAATTGAGAAACACCTCGAAAGTCAAGCCAGTAATTTCGAAAAAATTATTCTGGAAAATAAAGCCCTCAAATCTCGAGTGGGTGAATTGGAGGTTCGCCTGAATAACGCAGAGCAGGGCTTGTTATCCAGATCACTGGAGATCCGAGGGATACCGGAGCGAACTGGTGAAACGCCCGCCGCTCTGGTGACCAGCATTGGAGCAAGTTTGGGCATCAGGCTCAGTACAGATGACTTGGACATAGTACATCGCCGCAGAAGTAGAAAAGATGACCCACGACCGCCGCCTGTCATCGCGCGCTTTGTCAAACAGTCAGTCAGGGACGACTTAATAACGAAGAGGAAAGTCAAGAGAGACCTCACTACTCGGGATATCGGCTGGCAGGAGAATGACTGTCACCGGATATATCTGAGTGAGGAAATGACTCCCACGAACAGACACTTATATTGGCTCGCCCGACAGAAGAGAGCTGCGGGGAAAATCAAATATACGTGGTTTGCCGCCGGAAAGGTGCGATGTCGAAAGGAGGACGGGCATAAAGTTATTCTGATTGAACAGGCCTCGGACCTCGATATATTTGCCTGACCACGAAGAATTCGTCTACTCCTCATCCTCATTAAAATAACTTTGAACTCAATTATCTACAAACGAACATTTTCACTTCTACGCATAGAGATATCTCTTCACACTTACACACTAATTTATATTTTATTGACCATATGTTTTTTATTTCTTTTGGTTCCTGCTTACACTTTCTTTTCTGCTATTTTCATTAATTGTAAACGCCTTTTTGTATTTTCTATTTGTTTTAGAGTTTCTCTACCAAACTCTGACTGTTTCCCTCCCAATTCCTCTCATGTCTAGTACCCTAATCACCTGTCATGTTAACTCTCAATCCCTCCCTGCCCACTATGACGAGTTCCTGCAATATTTCACTCAAAACTTTTATCATATTATCGCAATCTCGGAAACTTGGCTTAAACCTTACATCCCTTCCTCTTCTGTTTCCTTGCCTAATCACACCCTCCTCCGTCATGATCGGGTAAGCCGGAATGGCGGAGGAGTAGCCATGTTTGTCCATAATAGCCTGAAGACTCGAATCCTCGATTCCTCACCACCCTCCGATCATCCTCAGGTTGAATACCTTCTAGTAGAAATTCATTGTAAGGATCTTCCTCTCCTTTACACTGTGGTATATCGTCCTCCCCATGTTCCATTTGATCAGTCCTTCGAATCAACCCTATTCAACTTCGTTCCTCTATATCCCAGAATAATCATCTCCGGTGACCTCAATACCAATTTCCTCTCTAACTCCAATGACAAATCCTATCTAGAAAACCTAATTTTCTCTCTGCACCTCTTCATAGTTCCATTTTCCCCCACCCACCACACCAGCAGGTCAGACACTTGGCTAGACTTCTACATTATAGACTCTGTACAAAATCTCCTCTCCTCTTCTCAATTGCCAGTATCATTCTTATCATCTCACGATCTTATACAAATAACATATAATATCCAAACGCCTTCAATCCAGCCTCGAACTATCACCTTCCGTCACCTAGATTCCCTTACTCGAGAAAAAATATTACCTGACCTAGAAACCCTAGACTGGAATGGAATATATTCTTGCTCTTCCATCGACTCCATGGTTGACATTCTTACCACCAATCTTCTCAATATTCTCAATACCCATGCTCCCCTCAAAACCTCTACCTTTCGTCACCGGCCTGCTCCTTGGATGTGTCAGGAAATCAAAGATCTGCAGAAGAGGCGCGACGCTGCCCGAAGACGTTTTAGACGTACGAGGCTTGCAGATGACTACCAAGCGTTCAGGGTGCTTCGCAACTTGGCACAGACAAGGATCCGGCGTGCGAAAACTTCCTACTTCCATGAAACCCTTTCCTCAGCTCCTGATATCAAATCGAAATGGCTACTGCTTCGTAAACTTTCCATTGGTAATCCTTCCAGATCCCCTACCGCAGCCTATCCTGTATCCTCCGATGATTTAAACTCTTATTTTATATCTGTCGCTAATACCTCTTCTCTACCTTCCTCTTCTGGCTTTGCTCCAGAGATATCCTTTAACGACAATAACTTTTATTTTTCCGACATTTCTCCCACAGACTTGTTAACCGCGTTAATGAAATCCCACACCAATTCCATAGGGCCAGACGGCATTCCTGTCAAATTAATAAAAATATGTCTACCTGAAATCCTCCCAGCTCTCCTTTTTATCTACAATTTCTCCCTTCAGAATTCAGTATTCCCTACCTCTTGGAAAAAAGCCATTGTCCTTCCTTTAAATAAAAAGCCTAATCCATCCTCACCCGAAGATTTCCGTCCAATTTCAATTCTTTCTAACCTCTCAAAGCCTCTTGAAAGACTGGTGCAATCCCAAGTCTCCAAGTTCCTCGAAAATTCCAACCAATTTGATCCTCTCCAATCTGGTTTCCGTCCCGGCTATTCCACACAATCTGCCTTAATTAAAATTACCAACGACATTCAATCTGCAATAGATGATAGAAAATTAACTGTCCTTATTCTTCTAGACTTCTCCAAAGCTTTCGATTCCATCAACCATTCCATCCTCTTCAACAAACTAAAATCATTATCTTTCTCCAATAGTTCCATCTCTTGGTTCCAATCTTTCCTCTCCCAACGCACCCAAGCAGTCTCCATACCCAACCAACCACTATCTGCTTTCCTTTCTTTATCCTCTGGAGTTGCCCAGGGTTCAAGCATATCTCCTCTCCTTTTCAGCTCCTACATTAACGACCTACCTAAATCAATTCTCCATTGTTCCCATCACCTTTATGCAGATGATTCCCAGATCTACCTATCCTTTTCTCCCTCTGAGTTACTGGGGGCATTTGCCAAGATTCAAGAAGATCTTGATCGAATCAATGCCTGGGCAAATGTAAATGGATTAAAGTTGAATGCTGCCAAAACTCAGGCCATCGTCATTGGTTCCAAGCCCCTCATTAGATCCCATACTGACTTTCCCATATTACACCTTAATGACCAGCCAATTTCCTTCTACTCCTCTGTTAAAAATTTAGGATTTTTCATAGATCAAACCCTCTCCTGGACCAACCATATTTCTCACATTTCCCGTCGGACAATCTCTACCCTTAAACTATTTCATCGCTTCCGCCATCTCCTACCTCAACATATCCGTAGACTCCTAATTTCCTCTCTCATCTTCCCCCACTTTGACTACAGCTGTGTGGTGTATGATGGCCTCTCGGTGGAGCTCCGTGATAGACTGAAAAGATTAATGAATAGCTGCGTAAGATTTGTTATTGGTGCCCCGAGGTACTCCCATGTCTCTCACCACTACACTGAGTTAAGGTGGCTCTACCCCTCCTTCCGAAGACAATACTTTCTAGGTACGTTCCTCTACCAAATCATCAACAACCATCGTCCTTCTTACGCCTACAACCTTCTCCAGTTCAAATCCTCAGTCCATTCCCTGTCCACAAGATCTCGACCTTCTGACCTCTACATGCCTTCTCACAGATCTGCCTCATTCCAAAATTCCTTTATTGTTCGCTCTGTCAATTTCTGGAATTCCCTCCCTATCAAAATTCGACATTCCCCCTCCATATCCACATTCAAATCCCTCCTATTCCAATTCCTAGCACAAAAACAGTCAGATACTTGCTAACCATTCGAGCGGATTTTAATAGAGAATTTGATATATTTTTATTTTTTAATTCTTTATTTTTTTTCGGAAAAGTGTATACTGGTTTAAATAGCTTTAAGTTTCTTGTCATAGTATTAATGGTTTTGTATATAGTTTAGTTTGTTTTGTATATAGAGTTTTTACCTTATATTTTTTTTACATTATTTCTTTTTTTCGATTTATTTTGTTTTGGCCAGATGTAATATTTTAATTTTGTTCTAATTTGTTATTCTCAAGGGACTGTGTCCCAGAATAAAGTTATTTTTCTATTTCTATTTCTATAAATCTAATGAAATGCTATCTGAGTTTTAGTTTTAAGATCTTAGTAATTGTTTCAATGAAAGAAGATACTAAAAGCTTTAATATCAAATACCAAAATACAATTAGTTCCATTATCGTTTGATTCTTTTTTTTTTTTTAATTAATTGCTAAACAATTAATTATTATTGCAGATTCATAGGTCCAAAAAGGTGACGAAGTCTATTAATGATGTTAAAAACAATTGCATAAAACAAATGAAAATAAGTCCAAATAAATCTAAATCTTTACGTTCCAAAATTGATCCTGCTTATCCTCCACTTTCAAAACCGGCGCTACGCAAAGAAAATGATCCAGGACAGACAAAGAAAATTAAACTTACTGATACAGCTCTTCGTGATGTCCGTCATTTAAGTGAAACTGATTTGATTTCGAATTCAACAGCAGTATTTAAAAAGTTAACATCACACTCGAAACAGAAAAAAGAAAGTTTTGTAAATAATAAAAACAAGGAATCAGACACCAATTTGACACCCAAGGTATTAAAAGTAATATATATATATATATATATATATATATATATATATATATATATATATATATATATATATATTTAATCAGTCCAGTATTTATCTAGTTTCACATAGTAAATAGCTTTCGCAGGTACTGGATGGTTTGATGGAAAAGCTGGTTGAAATGAGGAATAATTACGAAGAATCCTTACAAACGGTGAAAAGCTTAGGTGATTTGATGGAAGAGATCTCAACCGATTTCAAGGCTCTCTCTCGTGCTATGAATGATAACGTTTATTTGTTACAGTAATTATTTATTTATTGTCTACATATAACAGAGGAAAGGGGGTACTCATCCCGCCCCAAGAGCAATGGCGCTCTTCCATTGCTTTTCTCTTCTTAAAAACAGACGAAAGTAGAATCAAAAAAAGTATAGATCTTGTACAACTATATTTGCTATGACAGTTCCTTGTTACCTGGTTTGAAAGTCCCTCCATATTAAAACTCCACAAAAATATGGTTCCCTCCGAAAAGTCCCGCCACCCTCACAAAAATTCAAAAGCTCATAAGAATGTACAACTCAAACATTTTGCTGGCGCAATTTGCGACATGCAACTCTGCATGCAGTCTTCTGGCCAACCCTGACAAAGAATATACCTAATTGTAACAGACCTCTATGAATAGTATTTAATATTGTTTTTAAATTTCAACCGTGCAGCCCTTCCTCACCCTTTCATCTGGATTCACCAATGGATTCAAATAAATAACATACTTAGAGTGAAAAACTAAAATCATAAGAAATAACTACATGAATTGAGGGGTTTAGAATTATCGTAGTCTAAACCAATTTTATCAAGATAAATGCTTTAATTTTACTTACTTTAAAATTACAATAAATTTACAAACATTCTCTTTATGGACAAAAAACTGAATTGGTTTACACATATACCATTCTAACTCCCTTAATTATTATTATGTCCCTTTAGTGGAAAAAACAATTGTAATTCAGTGCATTTAGGCCTACCCCTAAAAAACCAAGTATGATAGATGGATTTCAACTTACCTATCCTTTATTTAGTTTGTTACTATGCCCAAAAAGTAAACTATTTATACAATTAAAGTTGCTGATTTTTGTATTAATTTATATTAGGTTTATTTATTTATCTCTCTCTCTCTGTTTGGTAAACTCCATTGTATTTATGTCAACAACTAAAGTATATTTTCTATTAGAAAACGATTTGGTTTTTGGAAGAGTTGATCGGGGTGCGGTATATATATAATACTACATATTATAATAGTATTTTATTTTTTTACGTTGTAGGTTTTCATCAGTACTAAAAAATATAAATATTAATTGCACAAGTTAAAAAAATAAAATAAAATAACAGTTGATATTATACTAGTGCAGATTAGAACATAAAGAAATTATCATATTGACCGCACCCCCTGTATCCAGTACCAACTCCTCAAATTATAATGACGGTCAACCATCTCCACACCGATATGATTTTTACCGAGCCTAAACAATAGGTTTGAGCACATTCGGAAAGTAGTTTTCTAACATACTCCACCTTAAGTTCATTCTATAAACATAAAGAAATAAATTAATAAATACCATTAAAGTTTTCACATTTTCATTCAGCTCTCAATATCTTGAAAACTATCAAACAAAAGATAACATTTTGTTTTTTTTAAATGCATTAAGTAAAGTTTGAGCTCTACCTAATTGAAACCATTATTTTATTTTTAAAATTTATTTTAGTAAATATTTAAGAAACGGAGATCCATCTTAGGAACCGCAATTGGAGGGGGGCGGCAACCAGTAGGGAAGATCGGCGAACCAAGCTGCGAGAGGCCTTGACTCTGGCAAGAGTTGTAGCGCCACTGATGATGATGATGAAATATTTAAGATAGTGTTCTTGCTACATATTTGAAGATAAATATTAAAAACTACATTCAACCAGCCAATTAGAGTAATAATAGTAGTGAAGATACTTATCTATATATGACATATATAGTAAGGGAAAGTATTGCGATCCTAAAAATTTTCTAATCCGAATTACACGTTTTGAATTCCTCTGGGTCCAAATATCCAAGTTTCGCAAATTGATCTGTGTATGTGCGTGTATTATTTTTACTTTCCTATCTATATATATATTTTTTTTTTGGATCCTTCCCTTCCTCGCCTTTAAGGCTATACGGGGGAGGGAGTGTCTTCCCCCCGAGGTCTTCCCGTGCCAGGGAGTGTGGACGGGGATTTAAAAGACTCTCCCGGCACCGGGATGCAAACTCGGGACTATTTTTCATGGTTGTCTCATATGTCAGGTTGCCGGGCAACGGAGCTGCTGTGCACACTCGTTAGCCCATTCGCCCACCCCGCCCACTTAGTTTTCAACGGAAATAGACGTTTTGAGGTCCCCTGAATCCAAATAACCTAGTCCCGCAAAATGGTATGGGTGTGTGTTGAACAGTCTAGATCAAAAATGAAAAGTCTTACGAAAGTGAAATTGCATATTTAAGATTTTTATATGCTAGGGATGTTACAGGAACTTTTTCGTCAAAATTGACTGACCGGAAATGGCACTTTATACCATGGGCTAAACACATTTTTACAATTTTCTCGGAAACGGCTCTAACGATTTTGATTAAATTCATTATATCAGTGTATAGTTAGACAGTTTTAAATAAAATTTAGTTTTTATTCTGATTGATCTTCTCTAACAGGGCTTAAATGGCTAATTTTCAATATTAGCTTCCTCTAAAGTACCTTTTTTTTTTTTAATTTGAAACAATCGACTGCTTCACAATACTCTCTAATATAAAAGTTAGGTGAATATAAAATATGAAATAATTTGATAATTAACTAGAGGAGAAATAAAAAATCGTAATGGTAAGAATAGTTGTAATTGATCGCACCCGACCTCGCCCGAAAGTTATAACAGGCTACCATACGTAACATGAGCTTAATATAATACGGACTCCGACAATATTATAAAAATATACATATGCGATTTTCATAAATGCTATTGTTGGTATTATTTAATATTTAATTGTATAGATTACACCGATATAAATATTAAAATTTGTATATATAAGAGTACTTATACAAATGAAAATACCCACAATGAAATATAAATAATTATATCGTCTATAATTTATATTTTCACTTATTTGTCTGAAAATACTTATTTCTGCTAAGAAGAGAGCAGTAAGTAACGATTTTGATTAAATTCATTATATCAGTGTATAGTTAGACAGTTTTAAATAAAATTTAGTTTTTATTCTGATTGATCTTCTCTAACAGGGCTTAAATGGCTAATTTTCAATATTAGCTTCCTCTAAAGTACCTTTAATTTTTTTTATTTGAAACAATTGACTATATCACATTAATCTCTAATACAAAATATAGTTAAATATAAAACATGAAAGAATTTAATAATTAACTAAAGGAAATACAAAATCGTAACGGAGAATAGTTGTAATTGATCGCACTCGAGCCAGCCAGAAAGATTATAACAGGCTTCCATACGTAACATGAGCTTAATATAATACGGACTCAGACAATATTATATAAATATACATATGAGGTTTTCATAAATGATATTATTGGTATTACTTAATATTTAATTGTGTAGATAACACCGATATAAATATTAAAATTTGTATATATATGAAAACTTATACAAATAAAAATACCCATAATGAAATATAAATAATTATAGCGTCTATAATGTTTACTTTCACTTCTTCTTTGACTGAAAATACTTATTTCTGCTAAAAAGGGGTTGGTAAGTGAAACTTGTGTGATGTGACGCGCACCGAACCAGATTTTTTTTGTATGTGAACAGTATAGCTCAAAAATGAGAAGTCGTGCGAAACTGATATTAATTACTTATGGTTTGTGCGTGTTTTTGTTAGGGTTTGGCTGGGATGCGACAGCAACTTTTTCGTCAAAATCGGCTATTTATCTATATCATATTTTATATCATTGATTTTACACATTTTTACAATTTTCTCGAAAACGGCTCCTTACTTAAGTGGTGAATTATCAAAATTTCTTCCTCTAATATGCTTCTGATTTTGTTTATTTGAAATAATTAACCACTTCAAATTATTACCTGGAATAAAAAATGGTCAAATATAAACTATAAAAGAATTTAACATTAACTAAAGCACAGATGGATATACAGTGGAGGAGAGAGGCTTACAAGCTGAAGCCTGCCTCCAAAAAACGATAAGGCATAAGCATGTCTTATGAAATAAATATTAAAAACTTATCTCAAAAAGTATTATTGTTCGTTTAATTTTATTTAATAGGACTTCAAGAATCATTTAAACGCCATTTCATATAGGTATTTAGTTTCTTTCTTTTTTTCCCGAAGTAATAATCGTTGTATGTATACAAAAAATAGTTTTCGGACTGAAGTCCCCCAAAATTAAATCCTCGTTAGTGAACTAAAGGAAAATATGTGACTTATACATGTGCAATTTTCATTAATGCTTTCCTTGGTATTATTTAATATTTAATTGTATAGATTATAGCAATATGAAAATTAACATTTGTACGTACAACAATGCTTAAACAAATAAAAATACCTACAATGAAATATAAATAAACATAGCGGCCTTCTTCAGTAATGGCACTCTTGTCAGCCAGAAAATATTTCGTAACACTTAATTACTAATTATAATTAAAATATACAGTCGTATGAGGAAATTTTTAAAAGCATAATTATAATACATTAGACGGCTGTGAAAAATCTACTTAGTATGTTATTTAATATGTTAATAATATGTTATTTAGCATTTGGCTTCATTTCGCCACTAATTTGGCGAGTTTCTTACTTATAAACAGTAAATGAAATTAATTTCTGGAATTGTTAAAGAACTATGTTATCGTACTTTTTTTAGAGAAGAAGTGCATGTCAGTACTATAGGATCCAGGATTTAATTTTGGAAGGGTCACTTTAGCCCGAAAGCTTTATATATATAACGATTATTACTTTGGAACGTTGTTTATTCTGGTGTTGGAGATGAGTTTTTGGTCTCTTGGATGGGGAAATGCAGGCATAAAAATGAATGATCGATTTTTGCAGAAGACGTTGTACTTTTTGCCAACAATTCCCGAAAATTACGAGAAATGCTTCTATGGGCCTGTGAAGAAATTGGTTTATACCCAATCCACAATAAGACGAAACTAATGACCAATAGTTCAAAGGAAGAAATAAAAATGAACAACTTCACCCTGGAATACGTAGAAGAATATGTTTACTTGGGACAGTTAGTTTCCTTTTCAGACAGAGTTACAAAAGAAGTCCAAAGAAGAATAGCATTTGGTTGGAACAAGTTCTCGTCTCTGAAGTACATAACAAAAGGAAACATAAGTATTGACCTAAAAAGGCTAGTTTTCGATAGATCTATTATACCAGTGGTGACCTATGGCTCCCAAACATGGTCACTGACAAAAGCCCAAGAGAGGATGATCATGGTGTGGTGAAATAGCATCGAAAGAAGCATTATGAAAGTATAGAAGATAGATAACATCAGATGCAAGAAGATAAAAGAAGAAACAGGGCTCAAAGACACACTCTCACAAATAAGAAAAGGCAAATGGAAATGGGCTGGACATCTCCTGCGATGCAACGACAATAGATGGTCAAAAATAGTCACCGAATGGACTCCATATGACCGAAAAAGGATGAGAGGCCGACAAATGAGGAGATGGAGAGATCCATTTAGGCTTTTGGCAGGACCTCTCTGGTGGAGAGCAGCTAGGGACAGAGATGTGTGGAAAGAAAAATGGTTATAGGTCAGAAATCCCGCTTCCCAGTAGGGCTAGTCACCCAGGGAAGTGTTAAAGACTATTACTCCTAAGGGAAGGGCTATGAAAGATAGTACAAACTTTTGTATAAATTATAATAATGTAAAAAAAAAAATACTAAAAAAAGAAGTTGTTTTGTTTGCTTTTGAAATTGTAATATTAGTGCATAAGGCTATTTTCATTTCATTTCACTTTGGAAGAATAAGAAAGATCCTAACTACTTACATGAAATGGCGTTTAAGTGATACTTGAAGTCCTAAATGTAATTACACGAACAATAATACTTTTAGAGATATTTTTTTTAAAAATATTTTTTCATGAGAAATGATTATATTTTACCATTTTGGAAGAAAGGGGGAATTCAGTCCGAAAGTCTCCTCCCCGTAGATCTGCCTGTGCACTCCTCTGAAAATGTTTCAAATCGTTTGTACGGGTTGGAAACATATGTTAACAAACTTTTACAACTTTACTTTTATTTATTTAGTTTAATAGTTATTTATCCTATAACACATATCTTACAATTAGTGCAAATAGTATTTGCCAAGATATTTGGTAAAATAAATTGATAAAATGGTGATTTCTAGTGTTTTGAAATACAACTTTGGTTGTTGTTGTTTTTTAGTACTAAATAAAAAATGTGATTTTTAAAAAATTCATTTATTTATAAAATGAATTTATGGTGGCGTGCAAATGAAATTGTTCACTATAACTATCTTCCGTATATACTGTACCTATTGTAGTGTAGATAAAAATTAAATTATTTTTTAACAAAACATGAGTTCGATTTTGACATAAATAAAATGGAGTTTGCCTGAATAAAATATGTGTATTTAAAAAAAAAGGAAACTTTTAATGAGTAAACATCTTATCTCTTGGTATAGAAACCTCAATACAGATACAGAAACCTCAATAAAAAAAGAAATACCATTCATCATAATTGGTTTTTTTAATTTTAATATTAATCTTGGTGCTCTTTGACTGCTGACTTAATCTACACCACATTTTTATCCCTTACTAAATTAAAAATGTAAAGGTATATGGTAAATCAGGAAAAGAAGTGTTGCTTATTCTAATTCGTCACGGTATATTAATATTAATATAATACATAGCTAATAATAATAATTAATAAATGTAATATATTAATAGAAGCACTCATTCCATTATAATAAGCATAATTCTTCATTTGCCTATAGAAGATTGGAATTCATTCAAATTTTACTGACGTCATTGCATAATAATTCATATATGTTACATTTTAATGATTAATTCCTAAGCTAATGATCCAGGAACTACTCGACAATCGTGTGAAACTGAAATATGTAGCATAATAGAGGAGTTATATAACATAGGTTTTGAGTAATCTTCCAATGTATGCCCTGATGAAATGTTAAATTGCAATTATTGAATTAGAAAAAAATTTCGTATGAAATATAAGATGATAAATATTAAAGAAAAGAAACTCTAACAAGTTTACGTTGCTGTTTTCAGCCATAATACTATACAGAAATTCCATGCATTAGAAAATAGAGAGAGAAAAATGTTTAAAAATTATCATGTCATTGAATATATGGTTAATAAGTTTGGAGATGAATTAGAGAAGACAAGAAAAAATCTCAATGTAATTCATTCAAAACAATAAAACTGAATATCAAAGAAATGTATTCTTAACTTTTATTTACGATACTGTAAGGGCCATTATACACGCCGCGAATGTTTTTCCAAGTGAAAAATATATGTCCTATTTGGCCACAGCCCAGTCAAATTAGACATATTACCTTGCAAAAGGTCGGTTAATTCAATTTTTTTTAGTGTATATATATAGAAATAGAAATAGAAATAGAAAAATCATCTTTATTCTGGGACTAGGTCCCTTTAGAATAACAGTATTGTTCATATATATTAACTACAAATCTGGTCAAAAGACTTATTACAATGAATAATGACAAAATACATGTAATACATTAAGTATTAATTAAGCTCTTAGGATAAATTAACGAGGACAGTTTGGTAATAGGGGTTCAGTTCTACAATATTGGAGCTAAAATAATTGCATAATAATCACTGAATGAAATTATAAAGGAAAGTAAAATCTATTTTATAGGTAAAGCATTGTAGTGATGGAATATAAAAATTTAAAAAAATAATAATAACTGTTAATATGTAGGGAAAGAAATTGTAAAAACTAAAACAAAAAAATATATAAAAAAACAAATAATGATATACATATGTTCCCTAAGATATTTAAGTGATTATGCGTAAAGATTAGGAGAAGAGAAAATAAAATAAAGTATATATATACACATAGCGAGAAGTATGTTGAAGATAATTAGAAATAAAATACATTTCACTGAAATACATTCCATGAATAACAAATTAGAACTTAAGGAAAACAAATTTTATCTACTCACAATGCTTAGTGAGTGGTGATGAAAATTCACGTTCAACACGGAATAAAACAATAAAAAATAAGAGAAAAAAATAATGTCTAAAGAAAATTAAATCCTTATAACATAGTATGTATTTAACCAGCGTCTGATTGGATTGTGAAGAGGAATTGGAATAAGAGGGTTTTAAAGGTGGATAAGGATGATGCATGGCGGATTTTTAGTGGGATGGAATTCCAGAATGCGGTGGAACGGACAACGAAGGAATGTTTAAATGATGCAGATCTGTGGAAAGGAGTGTAAAGGTCAGAAGGACGAGATCTTGTTGAGAGGGTGTGGATAGATGATTTGAATTGTAGGAGATTGTATGCGTAGGACGGACGATGACTATTGATTATTTGGTAAAGGAATGTGCCTAGGAAATATTGTCTTCGGAAGGAAGGGAAGAGCCATCCTAATTCAACATAGTGGTGCGAAACACGCTAATACCTCAGAGCCCCTGTGACAAATCTTACGAAGGCATTCATAATTCTTTTCAGTCTCTCCCCGAGTTCTGCCGAGAGGCCACCGTACACCACGCAGCCGTAATCAAGATGGGGGAAGATGAGGGAAGTTACTAGGAGTCTACGTGTGGAGATGGGTAGGAGATGGCGGAAGCGATGGAATAGTTTCAAGGTACCAATTGACTGTCGGGTAATGTGAGCAATATGGTGTTTCCAGGATAGGGTTTGGTCTATGAAAATGCCTAGGTTTTTTACTGAGGAGGTGAAGGTAATGGGATGGTCATTTAGGTACAGTATAGGTATGTTGGTATTGGCTCTGAGAAGGGGTTTGGAACCAATGACAATGGCTTGAGTTTTTGCAGCGTTTAACCTTAACCCATTTAAGTTTGCCCAGGCACTGATCCGATTCAAGTCTTCTTGAATTTTGGCAAACGCTTCATGCAACTCTGAGGGATGGAAGGAAAGGTAGATTTGGGAGTCATCGGCGTAAAGGTGATGGGAGCAGTGAAGGATTGAATTATGGATGTCATTGATATAAGAACTAAAAAGGAGGGGAGATATGCTAGAGCCCTGGGCCACTCCTGCGGACAAAGTAAGATAGGAAGACAAGAGTTGATTAGGAATAGCGACAGCTTGTGAGCGTTGGGAGAGGAATGATTGAAACCATAGGATAGAACTATGTGAAAAGGATAATGATTTTAATTTGGAAAAGAGAATGGAGTGGTTAATGGAATCAAAGGCTTTGGAAAAGTCAATGAGTATAAGGACGGTTAGTTTTTTGTCATCAATGGCGGACTGAACATCATTAATGATTTTGATTAGGGCGGATTGTGTGGAATAACCTGGTCGGAAACCAGATTGGTAAAGGTCAAGTTGATTGAACTGTTCAAGGAAGGTGGAAACTTGGGATTGCACAATTCTCTCCAGGGGTTTGGAAAGGTTAGAAAGGATTGAGATTGGCCGGAAATCTTCAGGGGAAGACGGATTAGAATTTTTATTTAAAGGACGGACTGTGGCTTTTTTCCATAAGGAAGGGAATACTGAATTTTGAAGGGAAAAATTGTAGATGAAAAGGAGTACCGGAAGGATTTCAGGGAGGCATAATTTAATTAATTTGACGGGAATGCCATCTGGACCAATAGAATTAGAGTGTGATTTCATCACGGCGGATATGAGGTCTGTGGGAGAAATATCTGAAAAATAAAAATCGGCGTCATTGAAAGATGTTCCAGGAGGAAAGAAGGAAGGGAGAAATGAAGGAGTTGAAGAGGAAGCAGATATAAAATAAGAATTTAAGTCATTTGATGAAACTGGGGGCACTGCAGAGGGAGGAGATCTGGTAAGATCACAAAGAGAGAGTTTACGAAGGAGTAGCCATTTGGATTTGGAATCAGGAGCTGAGGAAAGGGCTTCATGGAAATAGGTAGATTTGGCTCGTCGGATTGTGGATTGTGTCAGGTTGCGGAGCGCTCTGAACGCTTGATAGTCGTCAGGCAATCTAGTGCGTCTAGAGCGTCTCCGGGCTGCATCACGCCTCTTCTGAAGATCCTTAATTTTCTGACACATCCAGGGAGCAGAAAGGCGACGAAAGGTGGAGGTTTTGAGAGGGGCATGGTCATCAAGGATATTAATAAGATTGGAGGTGAGAATGTCAACCATGGAATCAATTGAGGTACAGGAATATATTATATTCCAATCTAGGGATTCTAGGGAAGGTAAGATTTTTGCCCGAGTAAGGCCATTGAGGTTCCGGAAAGTTACCGTTCTCGGTAGGATCGGAGGGGTTTGGATATTATAGGATATTTGGATTAGGTCATGCGACGATAAAAAAGAAACTGGTATATATATTATTGGGTATGTAGTGAATATGGAAAATATAAGTTTCTGCCCTTGAAAGCCTTGGGTGGGTTCACTGTAGTGCTCCAAAAACCATTAAAAATCGAAATAATTTTAGTTGACGTTAAATATCTCCTTTTCAGAGAAACATCGATAAAAAATGTTTATATTCAATCTTAAATAGCTTAAAACTATCTAACGTTTTTGTACATAACATTTTTTACATAACACAACAGGAAGCGAATTATGTAGCTTTCAAAATTTACCCATTTCGATTTCTTCATAACAGTGCTCTTTCAGTTGGGAACGGAAGAATGCTATTACTCCATTTTGAACCTCGTTCAGAGAAGTTAAAATGGTCAAAAGAAGTTCGAAATTTCAATGTTTTTTGGAGCACTGCAGCGAACCCACAGGCTTTCCAGGACAGAAACTTGGATTTTTTATATTCCTTGCATACCTAACAACATAAAAAAGAAATTTGAATTAAACCGTCCTTTTGCAAGCTAGGCCCCTTTTTTGTGCTAATTTGACTACCACCTAGGCCAGTGATCGCCACACTCTTTAGTTAAAAGGCTTGAAGACCAAAACTCTAATGATTTATATTTGTTTTGGGAGAAAATATTTTTTTAATTACTCTACATAAGTGTCTTATTATTATTATTAATTAATTAATTAGACTACTCCTAAATCTTGTTGTGATACTAGTATGGTTGAATGGTTTTATCTTATCGAAACCTAAAACTTTTTATCTTCGAAAATCCTCAGAAATAGGGCGTTTTGTCATTAAATTAATTAAGTTAATGGTAAGAGGAAAGAGGTACTAAAAATTCATGAATAGTTCGCTTTACAATTGAATCGTAAGATAATTTGATCACAAAATCTAAAAAAAATATGGTCTTCTCAAAAGATGGCTCAAAAAATGTTGGGATGTTTGGCCTATATAACCTCGTTGTTTTTATATGTTGGAGCTGGAGGTTGTCCTAAACGGTCCAATATTTTGTAGGCCACATTTTTTCTCGATTTCGTGATCAATTATCTTAAGGGTGTGTTTAAAAATTTCACAAACTGTGCTAAACAAATATTTAAATTTGTTTTCCTTATGCTAGTGATCTCAAGCGAATCCAGAATTTAATTTTTTTGAGCAGCTTCAAGCCGAAGCGCTTCCCCTCTCCATCTCCTTCTCCCCCCGTAGATCCGCTATGTCATTAGCCAATTGCAAGGACGAAAATAGGATGTATACCATAAGGGACAAAATTTATTTTTCTGCCTTGTCTTTTACTTCCTTTCGCTCCCAATAAAAGTCATCATTTTAGGTAACGCATTTTGAAATAAAACTCATCTGGGAATATTCATATTATCGTTATATACTGAATTAGACATTAAATTTGCCGTCCTCTAAATTCTAGTTCAAGCGATGAATACCAGCACAATTTTATTATATTTTAATTAAATATCATGAAATTGACAATTGGGTATTACATTCTTGCAACTAAAAGGACATAAGAATTTCTCTTATGCTGTCATTTTTTTTTTTTTCACGTAGATCCATCAATACTAAATATCTACATTCCTATATGATTCCGCTTATTTAAAATTCATGAAAATTAACGTAAGTTATTTTCTTATATAAATATTTATTTTCCAGTTTATAAAATTTCCAATTGTTTATTTATTTTATGTACTGTCCAGAATGTACCAAAAAAAAAATCCTAATTCCTGTGATGAAGTTGATGTATTTTAAAATACCTAAAGAAATCAGCGGAAATAAATTTTCTTAAAGTCAGTGGTGGCGACTTACTCGACTATGGATACATGTTCATTTTTTGGCAATCGTTTATCGCTCAAAATACTGACAGTCCCTATTTTTAACATTTTGTTTCGCGTCCCGCGTTGTTTTAACTAAGTCCCGATTTTTGACAAAGAGGATATGTGTATTGTTCTCCACAACCAAATAGCTATTTCACCAGGATATGACTTTTGTATTATTTTTGCTACTTTTATAATGTTAAATTTTATAACATAACACCGAATAATTGTCGAGAACCTCTTTGGCAAAGTTCGCATTGTTGATCAGTTGTTAAAATTCAACAACCATTGTTTGGAATTAATAAACAACCTGAAAATGACCTTTTTAATAAAGCATAGTTATTGATAAATTGAAAAGGAAAAGGTTAAATCTTTGACATCAGCAAATTAACTTCATTTGCTACTTCGCTTACCGGCATTTTGTCACCTTCAATAAATTTTAAAGCATTTTGGAAAAGAGCTGCTTGATTGTGTACAAACTGCTGGCACATAAATTTCAAGTCTTAAAAACTGATTAGTGAAGTCATAAATTAAGACGTTAAACACACCATCAAATTATTCGCTCTCAAAAATACGTCGTTAGAACCAAATTCTCTAACTCATATAAGCTGAATCCTATTTGCACCATATTATCATTATACAAAATTGATTATTGTGACAACAAGTTTGGACCATCCTATTTCCTCCCACAGTCAATGGCACAGGCGGATTTACGGGGGGGGGGAGGGCTTTCGGGCTGAAGCCCCCTCCAAAATGGTAAAATGTAACCATGTTTTATGCTAAAAAATATTAAAAAATTATGCCTTAAAGTATAATTGCTCGTTTAATTACATTTAATAGGACTTCAAGAATCACTTAAACACCATTTCATATAGGTAGTTAGTATCTTTTTGCTTTTTTTTTTGTAATTATCGTTATATATATGAAAAAAAAAGCTTCCGGGCTGAAGCCCCCCCCCCAAAATTAAATCCTGAATCCGCTAGCGGTCAATGGTGTCCCGCTTTACCAATGGCATAAAACCAATCCCGTTTTAAAATCTGGTCACATTACGCTAATGCCATCTCTCGGTAGTTGTGAAAATTGAGTAAGAGCTAGCGCTCTCTACGTTTTACTTCAAAAATTCTTTCAGTTTTTATTTAATTTGCAAAGGTTACTGCTTGGCATGGGTTATCAATTTATTGCAACACAATAGAATTGCCGGTCATCTTTTTTTCTTTTTATTATTATTATTCGATATAACGAATAAGGTTCAAATGAAGTGTTTTTATCTGTATGAGATCGATTGTTGAAGTTTGATTCCTACTTAAGCTGATTGTTAAGTGTGTCAATAGCACTTTTGAACACCCTTAATAATCCTGGTTGTCATAGTGGCTAACATTAAATTAGTAAAAGTTATTAACATTATTAAAAGAGCTATAGGTTTTTCTCAAGTCACCAGAATCAGTAATCTAAATCTAGAGAAGAAGCTTTACAAATCTGTGGACAGAAAAATGTTTCGGGATGGTTGGATTATTTTAAATCAAGTACCAATCCATGTTTGTACATGGGGCTGTTGGATTGAAGACTCCATCCCTGGAGATAGTGTTTTATTGTTTATTACAGGTAACCCTGGAATTGTTGACTTTTATTTCCAATTTCTATCCACTCTACAGCCTATGGTCGATATGCCTGTATGGGTTTTAAGCCACGGAGGTAACTTTTTGATATTCTTATAAAAGTTATAAAAAATAACTTATAATGGAGGCAACTTCAATACTAATTAATTATGTTCGCTAGGTTTTGAGTCCTCTCCTTATGCATTGGAAGTACCTGATATTAAAAGTAACCCAGAACTTTATTCTGTAGCTGGCCAAACAAAGCAGAAAATTGAATTTATTGAAAAATACATTCCAGAATCTAAAAAGATTTATTTGATTGGGCATTCAGTTGGAGGAAAGATTTCTGTGGAATTACTTAAAGACGATAAATTAGCGAAAAGAATTGAGCAGGTAATGTCTTCTATGGAATGTAGGTAATGTGTATTCTAATAATTTAATGTATGACTAGCTTACATACAATAACTAAGCAAAATATCGATTATTTTATCTTTAAATCATTTATCCTGTCCTTTTAAATATTTTATATTTATTAAAATTTAGTGTTTTATATTACTTTAAATTTGTCTAGCAGTAAAAGAGGACAGTATTAAGGAAGAAAGGTTTAATTAGAATCTTTAAAATATTTTATCAGTTATGTTATTTCTATAAATTACAATTTTTATAAGAAAAAATTGATTACTAATTTATAATGCAAGGTTTTATTTAAATTAATTACTTAATTAATTTTTTTAATCCTTACTAATCACTTGAATTTTTAATGGTGGGAAATTAAGAAAATACATATTGTGAAACAACACTGACCTCAATATCAGTATAATAAAATGCAATATAGTACTAATGCTATTAATTTTTATATTGGTATAAAATGACACATTATATATATATACATATGCCAAAGTTAAAACTAACTATTGTTTTTATTCAAAATGTTGTATATCTATGATTTTATTAATTTTTCTAATGAATCTACTGGAAATATCTGGATGATTCTATAATAATTAATCTATTTCATTTAATTTTAGGCACATCTAATCTTTCCTGTTCTTGAAAACATAAGTCAAACTCCCAATGGAAAATTATATACTAGTTTTGTGCAGCACATAGTGCCTTTTCTAGTATTCCTGGCATGGGTAAGGTGATTTACTCCTATCTTTTTAAATTAATAGTTTCAAGTACAATATTGTACTGACCCCCAAAGGGACTGGTTGGGGCAATATGGGTGATCTACGATTATATCACAGAAACCCTGGTTTGTAGCAACGTGCTGTTAGGTGGTAACCCTATTTAACCACTTGTGATTCTGAAAATATTAAATGTCTGTAGTAAAACCACATCAACCATATGTCTATATGAAAAAAAAAAAAAAATCTTTATTTATTTAAGGCCATCTAACTTTAGAACAATATTACATTTAAGAAAAGTGGGCTCTAGAGTCTTAGAGTCAAAGAAATAGGAATAGCAACTTATAAACTTATTAAATTAAAAATTTTGCCTTGTAGGTCAGTTTTCTCTCCTTTTCTATTGAATAATTAAGTAAAACAAATTTTCAGTTTGTATTGTTTATTTTGGAAAATGAATTCTCCTTTTTCCATCTTTGACATCTCTCCCAGTTTTACTTTCACTTACGTATATGAAATATATATTAAGGAAAGTATTGTGATCGTGAATATTGGTAATCAATGGAAATACACGTTTTGATGTACCCTGAGTCTAAATAACCAAATCTCGCAAAATGATCTGTGTTTGTGTATGTAAGTTAATAGTCTAGCTCAGAAAAGAAAAGTCATACAAAACTGAAATTGCATATTTAAGGTTTTTATTTGGCTAGTATGTCCCAGCAACTTTTTTGTCAATATTGGCTGACCAGTAGTGGCACTTCATATCATTGATTTAACACATTTTTGAGATTTTCTCAAAAACGGCTCTATCAATTTTGATTAAATTCATTATATCAGTGCGAAATTAAGGTGTTTTTAATATTATGTAGGTCTTATTCTCTTTAATATTCTCTAGCAGGGCTTAAATGTCCAATTTTCAAAATTTCTTCCTCTAAAGTATATTTAATTTTTTTTTTATTTGAAATAATTAACTATTTTACATTGTAACCTTCTATAAAAAACGCTGCAAATTATTTCACAATGGTTTATTATTTCCAAACAATTATACATCCAAAGTAACATTACCTTCCGAGTTACAAAGAAAAAAAACGTCTGCCAAGTAAGGTCAGTATAGCTTCCTCACCGTTTCCGTTGTATATTACAAGGTATACAATTTTTCGAATGAGAATAAAATCTCTGAGAGAAGCAGAATCGGAATAGCTGATTACAGTTACCCTTCAACATTCAACAACAGAGGGTCGTATTTGAATATTCCATACTTAATTATGCTTAATAAAAAAATAAATAAATAAAAAAAAATGCATACTGAACATGAATTTCAATACTGTTAGTTCAAAAGGTCTTATGTATAAATTTATTTATTGTTTTACAAGAGTGCATAAAAACTCAATATTTCTTTATGCTTTATTAGAATAATTTCATATTTTATTTTCATCTGCTATTTTCCATAGTAGCAGACTACTTATATCAGTTGCAGACTACAAAATATCACCTTTAATACACATAGAATTAAAGTTGAAAATTATTACATACGAACTTATGCTCTAATAATAGTATATACATTATTTTTTCACCAAAGTCTACCTTTTATCTAACTTTGAGCCAAATCGAACGAGCCCTTTCTGAAATATTGGCATATCTAAAAATATACGTTTGCGCGTGCGTAAGCGGAAGTGCTGGGTGGAATTTGATAAAATTGATATGGGACCATCTAGGCACCGTTCAGCATAATTCCTGAAAATTTCATGAAGATTGGATGAACGGTACTAGGTGATATGCCCGTCACATCGATTTGACTACAGACAGACAGACACCGAACCAAATTTGATCCTTGATGTCTGAAACGTAAAACGCGAGTGAAAATTTTCGATTCTGAGCAAAAAATTTTTTTTAATTTCTCGCACGAACACAATGCTTCCCTACCTTCGGTAGTGAGGAAGCAAAAACAAAAGGTGATTCCAATTATTGGACTAAACTGTTTTTCTATAATCATTAGTAATATGCTTAAAAAAAATAGCATTAGTTCAGTAACACATTTAAATTTTGAAAACCAAACCAAGGATATAACATTTGGAGTAGAACACATAAAAAAAAAACCGGAGACCATATCTTTGCTCCTAATTGTCCGATTTTAAAGATTTTTTTTTTTGTTTTTTAGGAAATTTTAGAAACTTTTTAAAAACCAATACAATATCAACAAAAAAGTAAAAACTTTTCGAGTTATTCGGAATTTAATTTTACCATCCCTCATAACTTTTTTTCCAGCTTCTTTTAGTTGATGTATGTTATATAGATAAATTTAAAGGGCGTCAAGAAAATGACTTTAGCAAAGTTTCATTGAAATCTGTTCATTCGTTTAGGAGCTACAGTCTATAGCAACGCAGGTTTTTCAGCCGCCATTTTGAAAGTTAAAGGCGGAGAGTAATGTCGATGAAGGAGGATCATCCTCGGGTGACCTCTGATTATATATCAAAATTTGAAAAAAATTGGTCCAGTAGTTTCGGAGAAAATGCGCGGACGGCGGACAGACAAAAAAATTTATATTCGTTTTTCGAATTCTTTTCGTCTTGAAACGTGAAACCTCAAATTTTGAGAGGGGGTTATGTTTTTGAATTTTTTGGTCGATCACAATGTTTCATTATTGAAAATAATAAACCAAAATGGTTTAATATGAAAAAAATTGATTATTAACTAAAGGAGACATAAGGATTGGAAGGTATACGGAAACAGCCGAGAGTGCCTCATCTTTACCAATCCTCTCCCTTTACAGATATCCGATACCCATCTGTACAGGGTTTTCATATTGTTAGTTTGACATTTATATGTTACTTAATCATAACTTTCTAATAAAGTTTTCACGCAAAATGTTGAGAATCTACCAATTTAAACCTATTAATTTACAATATTTACTACGGCTAAGTTAATTTTTCGACAAGTTTCATGATATACGCTTCTGAAAAAACTCAGAATTGTTCCAAAAAATCTATTTCCTCACAATCATTAGTATTGTTTGGTACTATACACAATCGTAAAAAGAAATTGAAAGTTATGCAAACATATAAATTTTACAGATTCAATGGGTGGAAAAACATGGCCATTAGTTGTTTTAAATGAAGTTGTACTGTCCTCTTCAACCTGACATCCCTCCAGAAGAAAGTCTACTCTAAGGTTGGTTAGTGAAAGTTGTGTGATGCGGGCACCACACCAGATTTTTCATAAACTATCTGGTGGTACATTTTTATCCCTTATTTGTTTATATGTAATGAAAACTCTTAAAATGAAAAATAAAATAAATATATACACACACATACTTACTCAGTAGGGTGTTCCTTAAACCAGCGTAAACAATTTATTTAGGCACCCTGTGATTGTAATCTAGTCTGATAACAAGAATTACTGGGTTTTTTTTAATCTTTGGGATTGTAACCACCATTAAAAATGTATTTGTTTTTTTGCATTTATTTATCTTTTCACTTAAAATTTATTACTTTTTTTTATTAAAATTGCAGTGTTGTATCAGATGTGTAATTATAAAACAGGAATTTCATCTATAGATAAATTATAATAGATGGTTCTAGTTGTTAATCTATATAAAATAAAGATTTTGTCTGCACATTGAATAGAATCAACCCGTTTTATGATATTTTTCCGTTCCACATCCACTTTTAAAAAATTTGTTTGTCTGTCTAGGTGTCCGCATTGTCCAACGAAATTTTGTCAGGGGTAAGCTCGGTATTGATTAATGGTAGACTTTTGAAATTTTTACATTATATAATTTGTTTTGGTTTGCTTGACTTAAAATAAAGACTTTAAATATAAAATATAGTAAAAATTAAACGGCATTATTGGCACTATTTGTTATCTGCTACAGCTGGCAAATATTTTTAACTTACTACAATACAAGTTTCACACAACAGCATCATTTTAATAATATTGAACTTATTGAATTTTGTGCCTACAAACTATGATTTGACGACATCATTACAAGTCTTTTACTATTTAATGACTGATGCAGAATCTCATGGAGTGCTTGTTTAAGCTTATGGTCAGCATGCTTATGGTAAATTTAAGTTTTTTGAGGGGTTTAAAAAAAATCAAAAGTAGCAATTTTGAGGTGAGAAATGAAAAACATGGAAAGTGGCTGTAATCTAATATGAGCTGCTTAAACCTGAGAAAACCATTTATACTGAATGTTATCCACAACAAATGATCTATTTTGCTTCATAATATTACACCATATCATATACATCAAACCCAAAAACTGCAGTACAGGACTTCGAGTGTAGTCTTGGGCCGATGAGGGAAAAAAAGAAAGAAAGGAAACCCATTTCATTTCTTACAATATTATTACTATTTACGATTATATCATTGTTATAGTTTTATCTATAAGATGTGACTTGATTGTCATTGGAAACCTCTGCTCTGAAATCTAACCTACTATCTATTATATGAGGATGATTTTTTTTTTTCTTGTTGTTAATCATATTTGATGAACACAATATTAGATGGCAAATTTATTGTATGACAGAAATATGTGTAAGTTATAAATAAATAAATCGCTGTTATTTAAAAAATATATGAGTGTATGTCATATTTTATTTTAGTATTAGGAGAGCAGGAAATTACAGGAGCTCTCCTATTAGCTCTATAATTTCCACTAGTTACATAGCTGTTCATTTAATTAAATATTTGTTGAGCTCCAGTAACCTCCTGGTAAAACATACTATAATCCTACTTTCCTAATACAAAATAAAGATTTTAGAATAAAAATTTGTACAGAAATGGCATTATTCATCTGGATGTGGTAGTTTGATTTTATCTACATTACAGCAGTTATTTTTCGATTTATACATTTCCTCTTGAATACAATATATTAATTGTTATATTATTTATAAAAGAAGCACAATATAATGTACAATGAAAATACTAGAAATAAAAGGCTTAAATTATTGTTGGACTTATATGAAAGTGGACTATTTGAATATATATATTATGGTTACAATTTGCCAATAAGAATAATTATAATAATATAAATTGACAGTAAAGCACAACGATGTATGATATAGATTTTTATAGAAATTAAAAATTTGTTAGAACTTTGGTTTCGTTTATTTTATTTTATGTTGATAAATAATAATACAATATGAACCACAGAATACCTGTAAATTAAAGTTATACAATTTGGGCAACAATTTGAGTACTATTAAATGAACAGTTATATAATTTATAAAACGGGGGTTGGTCCACTGTTAGGTAAATGGGAAGTACTCCTCTCGTAAGTCTTATTGTTATAATTTATGAATATCAAAATAATTATGAATGTAGTTATATATTTTTGATGGCCCTCGAAATGTGTGAAAATGATTGTTTGATAATTTTTTTTTTTTTTTTTGTCATGATTTCTATTTAACTATGTATATATATATATATATATATATATATATATATATATGAAATATATTTATTTATTTGTTTTGTTTAGATATTCTCTGTACTACCAAAAACGTTTCAATCCTATTTGGTTCAATTATTTTTTCGAAGTAACTGGACTTGTACTAAAGAACATTGTGCCGATGGATTAATCAAACTTTTTACATCCCAGTCATCCAGTGCTGCTCTTCATTTAGCTTTAGATGAGATGGCAACTATTAAGGATTTAGATAATGAGGTAATTTCCTTTAGTAGCATTTTAAAATTAATTTTATAGTTTAATGGAAGATTTTATCCTTCCTCTGTAGTGGATATAACTTTACACAGGACTCAATAATATATATATATATATATATATATATATATATATATATATATATATATATATATATATATGTATATATATATATATATATAAATATATATATATATATATATATATATATATATATATATATATAAAATATATATATATATATATATATATTTTTTTTTTTTTTTTTAACAGAAAATACAAAATCTTGATTTAATTTCTGAACGTATTTTGTGTCCCTTTTTTCTATTACTTTTAAGATCATTTTAGTTATACTGTTGTTGTAGTTGGATATTTTATAAAATTAAAAAGATAAGTAATATTATATGGAGTTATATGAAGAAAATAAAATAGTATACATACAAATAATTTTATCTATACTATTTTTCTTTTTCTATATTCTCCAATGTAATCCTACTAAAACCTGGTGTTTTATTGATGACTGCACTCCCTTTATTATTTCCTTTATTTGTATATGTATATATAATTTTTTTCTTTATTCAAGATAGGTTTAATCCCTTTCATTTTCTTCCAATTAATCTTTAAAATATTTTGGTTCTTATATATTTAGAAATTTTTGACTTACTCGTTCTTTCTTAATCTTATGTTCTGACTGAATTTTTCCCACTTCATCTTTTCTTCCATCTTGTGCTCACCATTCTGTAATTATCTTCATTAGTCTTGGAGGTGTCATTTTATTATCTCCTCCTATTGAATTTAATCATTATTGTTCCACAGTTCTTAAGATGATCTTATCAATCTATATATTCTATGGAATCCTTTCATTTATAATTCTGTTTCATCTGGATTTTGAGCTGACCTTCAAAAGTAAACTTTGCCAGTTACTAATCTTATATTGGATCTAGCATCTATGGATCCATGTTTCCAAGATGTATTGTGTTAGGTCTTTTTTTTTTTCTATTTCTATGGAAATACTGAATTCTACAACATTTTTTGCTTTTTGGTTCTTATTCAGCACCAAATCCATCGGAGATGACATGTACTCTTTACAATATAGCAATACTTAAATTTCCATTTGTTTTTACCACTACAAGGGCTGGAACTGAAATGTTGATTTCACTATTGTCAGAAGAAGTTTAGAGTTTGTATAATAGAGTATGCTATAGTTCGAAATTATTTATTAACCAGCAAAAATATATTCAAAAAGAACAAAAATAGCATTCTTAGTTAAATTTAAGAAAAATATAAAAAGAAATATTTAAGATAATTATTTTCTAGCAGTGAAAAATAATGAAAAAGTGGAACATTGTCAGTAGTAAACAGTAATTTCTATTTTATGAGATCTAGGACTGTTGGAACAGTATTTTTTTTACTTCTTTAGTGGTTGATGACAGTATTCTGCTGAGATAGAATGACCTTATAACGATCTAGCGGTGTTTTAGATAGTTCAAATTACTTTTTCTGGCAATTAGGGTGGTCTAGCAGGCTAAGGCGCTTGCAATAGACGATCAAAGTAATGTCAAGTGTGGTAAATATTTAGATAAGTGATCACACTCCTGGTAAGTCATGCAGCCCAATTTTTCTTGAGACCTGACTTTTCTCTACTATATGAGACACATCGCTCTACTAGAGGCAACTCATACTTATTGGAGGTAGGAGTGATGAGCCAATTTTGTTTTACACTTTAGTTCAGGCCCATTTGATAGAGTGGAGTGCTTTAAGTGTAACTATTAATTGGAGTGTCTGTGTGAAGCTCAGTATTAATCAAAAATTGCAATGTAGTCTTGCCAGCTATCATTAATCATCCTGAGGTTTGTTCCATGGACCATCTGTTTCACAGATAAAAGTATATGGTCATCCTGAACATCTATGAATGTACTTGGACCTAATTGAGTCACTGATGGGCCTTGTGGTCCTTTTAATTAACATCTAACAGCTACCTGGAGGTTGCTATTGGATATTTACCAGAGTGTCATGTCAGTATTCATTTCCTGGGTCACCTAGAAATAAATATTAATAGACCAAGGTGGGAATCGAACCAACAACTTTAGAATCGAGTTACAGCCGTGGATAACCTCTATTATCCAAATGGATCTCTCACATTTGCATTTATATTTGCTGTCAATTTTATGGAAGCCGAGATCACTTGGAATCTCTGTGAATTGTTTTGATGTTTTCAATAGGAAAATGTTTTTTTATAATCTGAACTCTCCTGGATTGAGTTTTTTGTCAATGTTGTCCTCTCATAGCCAGCATCTACAAGAAATGCTTGTTATCCAGCTCTTAGCATTATTTAGTAGAAGTAAGACTTCAAGTTATGGATTTTTTACATTATAGTATCTTGGAAGTTGTTTGATTTCAACTTTGACAGAGTTTTTCATCAACTGTATTAACTTTAACCCATGGGGATATGACTTTCCTCAATTTTGCAGTTTTATTATTAAAAAATCCACTTTCCCAATTTTATATATAATGATGGTATTTATTATCTCAAAAATTATATCCCACTGTGAGTTGATTACTTCATTACAACCACTTTCTAATAGTTTTAACCACTGTAAATATTTCATTTCTAAAGATATAATTTTAAAAATTATTTGGAATAATTTGATGATTATTTAATCTAATTTTTATAGTGAATGACTTCAAATATTTTTTATTTCCAGGTATATGAAAAGCACTGTTCCAAAATTTATATTTACTATGGACAAAACGATAGGTGGGCTCCTCTGGATCAATACCATCACATTATGCAGCTTCATCCAAAGGTATTTTATTTATTAACAATTCATTCATTACAGCCTCTTATTAGTGAAAAACCTTTTGAGAAGGAAGGTTCGGTTCAGGAATTTTTTACTTTCACCTTCCTATATATGAAATATATATTAAAGGAAAGTACTGCGATCGTGAAATTTTTTGAATCCGAGTTTTCAATGGAAATACATGTTTTGAGCTCCCCTTGGACCAAATAATCTAGTCTTGCAAAATGGTCTGTGTTTATGTGAACAGCTTAGTTCAAAAACGAAAAGTGGTACGAAATTGAAATTGTGCATTTGAGATTTTTATATGGTTGGGATGTGACAGCAACTTTTTACATTTTTCTCGAAAGTGGCTCTAATGATTTTGATTAAACTCGGTATATCAGTGTATTATTAAGTGGTCTTTGATGTCAGCTAGATCTTATCTATATTGATGTCGCCATACAGGGCTTAAATGCCCAATGTTCAATATCTCTTCCTCTAAAATACCTTTAATTTGGTTTATTTAAAAAAATTAACTGTCTCTTAACTTATTTAGTTTATTTATTTAGTCTGACAATAGTCAGACTAAAAATATTTCGTGGCACTTATTTATTTATTATAATCAAATAAATAATTAAAAGACACAATCATGGGTGACAAATATTCAGGACACAGTCATTAAAATTCTTTTTTTTTTTTATTTGTACCAACATTTCAACCCAAACATGTGGGTCATCATCAGGGCTGAAAATTTTAAAATATAATATTATACAAGTGATAATAGTAAATAATAAACTATATTGATTGATGGTACATGAATCTTAACTATTATTACAATACACAATATTAAAAATGAAATATGTAAAATGTTATGCAAACTAAAAATAATGTATGTAATCCATTTAACCAATTGGTACACCAAACCTACCTACTCTGGTCCTCTCCTAAACTATTATTCCCAACATCCTTACTACCAAAAAATCAGTGTAGCTAATAATCTGATACACCACAGTCTAACATTAACCGACCCGCAATTCCACGACAATAACCTAACCAAACTACACAATATCCTGAAATCCAATGCCTCTCCTGATCACATTATAAAAAACCTAATTAAAAATCAATCCAAACCTCATCTTCACCAGTCTCCCCCACAAACTGCTCTCAATCTCCCACCACGATTGGCCAATACAGATCCATTCCATACATCCCAGTTCTATCACAAAAAAGATTTAATTTCCAAATTCCCCCATCTACAAATAATTTTCAAAAATAACAAATTAAGAAATCTATACACCAAACTCAAAGATCCTGTTCCGCTCCTACAACAATCAAATATTGTATACCATATCACATGCTTTAACCCAAACTACAATTCTTCTTATATAGGAGAAACCAAAAACTATTTAAAAACGAATGTATCAAAACAAAGCATCTCCACACGAAACCCGCTTGCCTCGAAATTAGCCGAACACGCCATAACCCTCAACCACACATTTGATTTTGAAAACCCAACCATACTTGCCACAGTTCCCAATCACCAAGAGTGACTACTTTCTGAAGCTATATTCATTAATTTGGAAAAGAAATAATCCGGTAAACCACTAAGTTGATAAAGAAAAGATCTGCAACACATATTCAAATATTTTCTGCCTCCTAAAACAATTCTCTATAATCGTTAAAATTTTGTTTTTCATTATCCCCATTTCCCCATCAACTTACATAGGTAACTACTCCTACATTTATTATACATATAATGTCCATTCTCAATATAAACATATACTATAAACAGACACAGATATGTTTATACTTATGCTATTACAACTGTGTAATCCTTAACATACTTCTATTATGATTAATATTGTTATTTTTAAAATATTGTATAATATATTGTCTTACGCATCTTTTCAATCCATTACAATTGTCTTTATTATAAATATTATTTGGCTAACCATTGTATACCTTCAATCAAACTATATTTATATTGATTGACATTTATTGCTTATGTTCATTTCATTACTAGCCAATAGTCACAATTCTGTAACCATAAGAAACAACGCAAATCTTGAATATTTACCCAGCAAATTATTTATGTTCTACAAACAAAAATGTTACATCCCTCCCCCTCCTCCCTCTGACTATGTTTATCTACCTCTTGCTATCTGAAAAAGGACAGCTGGGAAATCCTCCCCCGACCCTTTCACTTAGCTACCAAATGTGTCACTACTTGAAAGCCTTGAGTGCTCGAACCACCGTTAGTAAGAGAAAATATTACAAATTTTTATAAATGGATTATATACATTATTTTTAGTTTGCATAACGTTTTACATATTTCATTTTTTATATTGCGTATTGTAATAATATTTACGATTCATGTACCATCAATCACTATAGTTATTTATTTTACCATTATCAGTCCTATAATATTATATCTCTGATTGTATTTTAAAATTTTCAGCCCTGATCATTCCTTACATCACCCATTCCACTTTCTTTACCCCCTAAAGAAATTAATAACAAAAACTTCCTCTCCATAAATCTCCTGGATACGACTTCCTTACCTCTCAAATCCTTCGACAACTTCCTCCTAAAGCTGTTATATTTCTCACTTACTTATATAATACCATCCTTAGAACCATGACCCACATAAGCTATCCTGATCGGAACTCCCTCACTCCTCAAATTCTTACCGACACTCCCCAATCTTTTCCTGAACAACTCATTTATCTCATTCCATACTGCAAGGTGACGGTTTAAACGAACTCGACTTCCTGAAGATTTTCTCTCTTTCAAACAACTTCGAAGCAGCACTCAATCAGCAGGATGCCGTGCCAAATCCCAATACTACCATCATACCTTATCCAACTCCCCTAATACCTAGGCCATATGGGCTGTTCTTAGAAAACTGACCATTGGTAATCCACCTCAGTCCCAGTCCATTTCCATTTCTGTTGGTAACATCAACGCTCACTTTGTCTCCTGCCCTTCCACAATCTCATCTCCTGCGTCCACTCCGGTTCCTATGTATTCCTATTTTAATCCTGATCACTTCTTTTTTTCCACATTATCCCTGATTATCTCCTTAATTGTATTCAGAAGTCCCATAGCAATGATTATGGTCCCGATAACATCCCAGTCAGATTGATTAAAGCCGTGCTGCCATCAGTTCTGATCCTTTATCATATCTATAATTATTCTCGTCAAAATGCTACTTTCTCTACATCCTGAAAAACTGCCCTAGTTCGCCCTTTGAAGAAGACCTCTAACCCATCAGCTCTTAATGATTTGTGTCCAATTTCTCTTTTTTCAAACCTTTCCAAACCTTTAGCGACTAGTCCAATCCCAGCTATTCCATTTTTAGAGGACAATAATCTCCTAAATCCCTACCAGTCTGGTTTCAGGCCTGGCTATTCTACTCAGTCTGCACTAATCAAAATTTCCTATGACCTTCATACAGCCATAGATCAGCAGAAACTAACCATCCTCATTCTTCTTGATTTCTCCAAAGCTTTTGATTCAGTACCCTTGTCCAGAGGCGTCCCACAAGGCTCTTCCTTATCCCTCACCCTTTTTTCCATCTATATAAATGACCTTCCATCCTCTATCCTGCACTTCAATACCACCTGTATGCCAACAACGTTCAAATTTATCTTTTTAAATCCAACCGATTCCTCAGATGTCATCCTAAAACTCCAAGAAGGTATTAATAGAATAAGTGCTTAGGCAAACTTCAACAGGCTCAATCCACTCGCTCCTCAAAACCTTCCCGGTATCTCCAAATCTTCTCCTGAACAAACTCACCTATCTTATTCCATACTTCTGTTTAAGACCTAGGTGTTACTTTTGATCAAACCGTCTCCTAAAAACCACACATCTCCCAGATTTCCCGTCGCACTCACAGATCTCCACTCACAGTTCAATCGTCTACATTATCTCCTTCCATATAAGTCCCGTCAACTCCTAGTTTCCTCTCTTGTATTCTCCCACTTTGACTATCATGGCTGTATGGTGTAGAGTAGACTCTCGGGAGATTTCAAAGCCAAACTTAAATGCCTAATGAATTGCGCAATACATTTTGTATTGTCCAGTATTACATCGAGTTGAAGTTGCTCTATCCATCCTATCACCATCAGTACTTCTTAGCTACCTCTATGTACCAGGTTATTAGAACTCAGCGACCCTACTTCTATATTTTTCACAGCTTAAATTTAAATCCTCCATCCAATCCCGTCAAACTATATCTTGTACTTCCGATCTCTATCCTCCTCCTCACCAAACTGCTGCGTTTGACAAATCCTTTGTAATTCAAGCTGTTTCCCTCTGTAATTCTATCCCTCCAGATATTTGACACGCACAATCAGTTTCCTCTTTCAAACCTCTCTTCTTTAAACACCTAGTCCTTTCTCAATCCGACTGACTACGAAATATACCTAAGAGAACTATTTAAGTACCTCCAGAGACTATTTCTGTTTATTTATGTTATTTTAGTTTTCTTTGTTGGTTTTATGTATATGTACGCTTTTCTTTTTCTTTCTCTTCTGTATTTTAATTTTTAATTAACTATTATTGTAAATAGTTTTATGGGCTAAATTATTGTAAATAAATTTATGGGCTATTGCAGGATTTATTTATTATTTTGTATTTGTGAATTAAGATTTATTATTTTATAAATTTAGTCTTTAGTAAATTTATTTATTCTTTTAGATCAATGGAACGTTACTTGAGGAAAAGTTCACTCATGCATTTGTTTTAACAACCCCTATCGATATGGCACAACTATTAAGCAAAATAATTAGGCCATCAATTTTTGAAGCTGGGGCAGTTAGCTAATGCAAGATACACCTTATTTATTATATTTATTGATTTTTTTTTATGTTCAGTTATTCTGCTTAGCTGGTAAATTATTATTATCTATGACTCTCAGTTAATAACCATTTAAGTACCAATAAATATTTTATGTTATAATCCAGTTATATTTGTTATAGCTGAAAATACTCATAGTGTTGCATTTTCAAAGCAATTTGGTTTGCTTGGTCTATGTGATAATGCAAACTGGTCTCAAAACCCTTCAGTTAATGTGATACTGATTTTTTAAATCACAATTTTAATATGATTTCATCCAGTTCATCCTGACTTCTTGAAAATTTTAAATTTTGGTACTTAAATGGTATAGTTAACTAATTTGGCATGTGACGTTTGCATGGAATAGTTCGACAATATCTAATAAGTAATCTGTGATTCAACGTAATATTTTAAATTCTGTGATTTAAACGAATATATTTGCTTTTGTGATTTTGAAACGTGATTAATTTATTAGTGATACTACTTTTATTTTTGTAGGTTTATAAAAACATTTAAATTGTTATGTTATTTTTTTTTTTTGGTGAAAATATTTATTATTTGACTTTTGTATTTATGATGTGAAAACACAATAAAAAATTAAAAAGGTTTTTACTGTTATTTAATTATTAATCTGATTGAATCAAATTATATGCTTTATTTCAGGAGTTAAAAAAACCATAATTTGATTTAGTTACTGTTTATTTATTATTTTTTTCAAAAATTTTTCTTCTTTGAATTATTTTTTCTCCACTTTTACCTACCTTCCTGAATCCACGATTGAATATTTTATTAATTTTTCTACCCATCATGTTGATGAGTACAAAAATATTTTTGTTTTGTGGTTGGTCATTTTGGAATGTTGTGTTTTTATCCATTTCCTACTATTATGTAATATTATAAAGATACATTATTCAGCAGTTTTGATTAACAACAATATGCCATCCTTACTGAAGGCCTTGTATATAACATAAGTACAAACATAATGAAAACATACATAAAATTATAATAAATTGACATTAATACTACAACAAATTCGTTTCACTGACTGACTTGACTGGGAGCATGCAACATTTTTATAGCCTTGAGAAGGTTCTTGACCATTCCTTAATTAAATTATAAACTAAAAGACAAAAATTGTAACCTCTTATATTGTATGTTGAATTGTTGAATGGAGGCAATTTGTTCTGCAGAAAGTTTATATTTATCACTAATGTCTCGAATTAATACTTAAAGCACATTTAGAGTAATCCTCAAAGTGAATCATCCTTTTATAATTATTTCCATCTACTTATGTGGTTCAACTGCCTTATTCATCATTTTATGGTTCATTTCTTTGCGAACTGAGGTGTTTAAAATGTATTTTATGAAGAGGAATAGCAGAATCATACTTGTGAGAATTTATTCAACCTCAAATACACTTATTTAAGAACTGTATGCAAATAAATTGACGAGTGGCTGCTGGGTGTCCAAAGACACTGGTGAATGAAACCTTGTATTTCAAGGAGAAAAACTCTAGGAGCTCCGTCAAGGCTGCCTTAGACAGAAGAAAATTCTAAGAAATTATTGCGATAATTATTCTACAACGGCCTATAATATTAAATATTTTATAAAAGCTTTATTAAATATGGACACTCCTTTATGAAGTTCATGTGTTATAATTTGAAAATTTAACATATTGTGTTTAAGTATTTGCCCTACATCACTTCATCTAACAAATATGAACCAATTAAAAAAAAAATTATTTATTTTTGGGAGGGAGAGAATTCAGCCTGAAGGGCCACATTTACATCCACAAGTGGTTGTATGCATACAGAAATTTAAATAAATGTATTGCCAGAACAGTCATGAGTTTTGTTTTAGGTGCGGAAGACTCTTAATATAATAATTATATTATTAATAGTTACCTAATATAGTTTACCGATTTATTCTGATTTTTTTTCTAATGTAACCAGCATTCAAAATCCAATCAAGGAATAATGTTTGATTTTCAGCAAACAAATATCAATATTATTGTTATCTAATGATACCCACATTTTCCTTCCTTGCTAACAAATATTAGGAAACTATATCCTACATATACAGAAGGTTAAATAAAAAAAAATGTGTTCATAACCGATAATTCCCAGCAAGATACAGATTTGTTTCACTGTCTGTAGTCAAATCTATGTGATGGGTATAACGCATAGTACATTGGTCGGATTTTGATGAAATTTATAAAGAAGAAAATACGGGTTTTTAAATGATTCCATATCAATTTCATCAATCCTCTAAATATTTATGAGCAAATGCATTTCCTTAATCATTCCTATATTTCAAAAACTGTCTCTTCAATGGGAATGGAAGTTAAGATTATTTGAAAAAAGTTTCAACTGGACACTAATTTTATCAGATTCCATCTATTTCTTTAAAATATACTTTTGCTTATGGCACAAACGTTTTTTTACTAGATACACCTTTATATTGAAAACAACTCCATAGATTTGGTCCAAATATGGAGGATATTCTAGAAATATTGTACAAATAGACACATATCAATTTCATTTAAGAATAAAATTTGTATCTAATTGTTAGGAATATAAATGTTGGGAAGTGTAGTTGGCAGTGATGTCATGAATAGAGAGGGTATGATTCATCTTGTAGTTTAATGAAATTACTTGCTTTTTTATAAGGATTTATTCCCAAACAATAGCTTGGCTAATGGGAAGAAGTTAAAGCAATTTGCTCGGAGCATAGTGGGCTTTCTATACAATATAAATGAATTCATTTGTATTAAGTTGATAAAAAAGAAAAATAATATAGTAGAAGTAAGAAAAAAATTTTCGGTGGGATAAAATAAATATTACTTATTAATTAGGTAATTATTAATAATTAACCTCAACAGTAAATTAATAAATTGCTAATACTAAACGTGTATAAAAGAATTATGATGGCAGATCTTTTAATTAACTTGTTTTACTTGCAAGATTGTTGGATCTTAACAAGTAGTTCTCTTGGACATTTAGTGGTATCTTGAAGGTTGACTTGATGTCATACGTTGACATGGTAATCTTAGACAATATGGCGACATTCCTGATTCGTTATATTTATTACTTTTTGATCCCTCAAATAAATACAGAGGTAACTTATTTTAATTATATGTTTCGCAACTGGAATAAAAGATATATAAATGCTCTGTATGGAACATCATGGGATTGAATTCGATAAATATGTAAAATGCATGATTGATAAAAATAGAAAATAAATACATTATAATGTGCTCAGATGTTCGGGAAAATTAAAGCTTTTTGAAATTTGTATTTTTCGTTTTAAATTTCTGCTTAATTCCGAAGCTATTACTCGTAAATCGACCGGGGCTTTTTATGAATGCAGTTCAAACATTTTAAAATGGCTTATCTCCGATGATCAAATCCATATTTAAAAAAATCTGAAAGGTTTAAAATTTAATTGTTGTTCACTATTGTTTGGGAAGAAAAACAAAACAGAAAAAGAGGAATAATATAACTATTAAAAAAATGAAATATGTAGATATTAGATTAATAAATGATTGATTATTTATTATACTAAGTAAATCACATAGCTAAAATTTAACGTTTACTAAAGAATTTTAATGACAAATCTCTTAATGGTTCAGGTCACTTTCATCGTCATTGCTACTACTTGCAATGTAGATGTTATGTTGGGTTTTCATTTGTTTTCCCAGGCTATAAGTAGGGTCCTGAAGTTTAGATTTATTTTAAAATATCATGACATTTCTGGTACTTTTTATTAATTACTTTTTGGTGTTTTAAGTAAATACAGAGGTGAAAGTCACAAGTTATACAACTGAAACGAAAACTATTATATCAATCATTTCTAGGAAAAATTATGAGAACTTGGTTAATATATAAAATAGATGAGAGGTAAAAACAGAAAATATATATATTATCATCTCAGAAGTTTCGGGAATAATATAGTTTTTAAAAATTTTGCATGTGATCTTTATTTAATATTTTAACTCCATTGTAAAAAAAATATTTATAAATCGAAAAGAAAATTCATGAATTAAGTTCAATTATTTTAAGGACGCTTTCCTGCATGGTTTAAACCATATTAAAAAAAAATGTAAACTTAAACTTATAAAATATGTGGGTTCTTCACTCTAACAATCAAACCCAATATTGACTCTCAATCAATGTTTACTGTCATGATTACTCATACTGTTTGTTTGTTTTTTTCCCCTAATTTTAAGTTATTCTACAAACACTCCATTTATTTAACACGAAATATGTTTTGGCTGCATTGTAGCGAAAAATTATTATTTGTAGCATTAGATGAATTCAGAAAGTTGAAAGAGAATGACGCCATGCTGACACTTTTTACCTAGCTGATCACTAGCGGATCCAGGATTTAATTTTGGGGGAGGCTTCAGCCCGAAACCTTTTTTTTTTCATAAAAATAGCGATAATTACTTTGGAAAAAAAGAAAGAAGCTAACTACCTGTATGAAATGGTGTTTAAGTGATTCCTAAAGCCCTTTAAAATGTTATTACACGAACAATAATAATTTAAGAGATAGTTTTTTAATATTTTTTTCGATAAAACATGGTTATATTTTGGCGTTTTGGGGGGGGCTTCAGCCCGAAACCCCCCCCCCCCCCCTCCGTAGATCCGCCCGTGTAGCTGATTATACCATTGCTCCTAACTATAAACTCTAGATAATTATGTCACCAACAGAAATTGTGAGGTAGTTATTCTGACCATGGCAGGCCTTTTTTTCCGGAATAAAATATATTTCCAAAAACTGTATGCTAATGAAAGATACATTTGAAGAATTTTGGACAAGCCACATGTGAATTTTTCAGGTTAGGAATTTTTAAATTTAGAAAACTTCCTATTTAATGTTTTACAGGGTAAATATTTCTTAATATTATCAGTGTGTGTTTAATTTCAAAATCTCTCATTTTCTATGAGTCTAAATTTCTCTTTTGTTTGAAAGAGAGGATTTTTACCGTCAAGGCACACATTTTGTTGCTCGTACGTATTTGCTCAAAAAGAAATTTGATTTATTTTGGGATAATACAAGGCAATATTAAAAACAAAAACTGTTCTTTTTCAAAAATTAAATTACTTTATCATTTTATTTTCTGTATTACCGACTTAGTATTTTGTAGCCACGAGTTCAGTTTACGCGAGGCATTTGCAGGTATTTGAGCAGTAACTCAAAATATAACACATTCTGTTTTTCTTTGGAATCTCAATTCAGTGTATATCTAATGAAGAAAATTGAAACATTTTGGTTAGTAAAACGGAACATCAATCCTTATCTTCTATCGTGTCTTTTGTTGTCTGTGTATACGATTTTGATAAGATGTATATAATTTTGATAAATAATATATAAGACCTATTTTTATATTTCTTTATGGATTGATTAAAATAATTTCATATTTTATTTCCTTCTGCTATTTTCGTATTTAGGAGACTACTTATAGCAGTTACAAACTGCAAAGTGTCATCTTTAGTGCAAAGAGAATAAACATGTCAAATTGTTACATATGGCATTTTGCACCAACACTAGCGATATATATGTATATAAACAATTTTTTGTTTTGTTTTTAATGGTAATTTTT